CAGAGCATGAGCAGAGCATGAGCAGAGCATGAACAGAGCATGAGCAGAGCATGAGCAGAGCATGAACAGAGCATGAACAGAGCATGATCAGAGCATGAACTCATAAGAATTATACATGAGTATCATATAGGAATCGCATTTATGAAATTATACTATACCTGTCCCACTCTGGATCCAATGTGTAAGGGTGTTAGTTTTATTTCATATGTTCGATGTTCAATATCAGCACCATGTGATATCAGTGTCTCCAAAAACGCCATCCTTCCATTTATCACCGCGCTGTGCGCCAATGTATACCCTCCTTGATAGGTGGCATTCAGGTCAATATCGTGTCTGAGGAGCACACGGAGGCACGGTACCGAGCCCAAGGTAGACGCAATGAAGGCTGCGTCAACGTCTCGTACTGTGCGGGCTTTGACATTAGCACCTTGGTCAGTTGAAAAGAAAACAAGTCACTCAGATATACCTACTACCACATGATTACCATAGTTACATGACTTCTATGGTTACTCACCATTGAGAAGAAGGAAGTTCAAACATTCCGGTTCGTTGCGCATGGCTGCCATATGTAATGGCGCCTCATGATTTTCGTTGTATTTATTAACTTTAGCTCCACAGGCAACCAACAACTACATAAGAAACACAAGTACTATTTTATCAAGGTAATGTTACCATCCTCATGCTTGTTCTTTCACTGAATACCAACCATAATAGGCTATTTGCAGTTAACGGTCACGCGTCTCTACTGGAGAGCAGCATTTTTGTATTTTTTTCAAACTGGTGATTCTTTTTAGCTACTTGTAAAAAAACTGAATAAAAATATGTGTAACCAGTGTGCATGTGTTACGAAATTCAGTTTTATTACGATCGGCTCGGAACAGGTTCAGGGACGTATCCAGGATTTGTAAGTAGCCCACCTTCGAGATACGCTTCGCTTGTCACGCACAAAGGTTTCAGTATGAGGCTACGTGCTAAATGCTCAGTCATTCGTGACAGGCGGTAAGAATAAATTTAATTTAGCACGAAGCCTCATACTGAAACCTTTGTGCGTGACAAGCGAAGCATATCTCGGAAGTAGGTTATTGGGGGGTCCTTACATACCAAATTGTCACTATGACGTCAATATGACGCCGCATCAACGGCCGGTTAGATTTTTTTAGCTTTGAAAGGGGGGGTCACGGGCACCCTGTGACCTCCCTGGATACGCCCCTGCAGGTTATAGAAAGTGTGTTTGCTCTCCAGTATATTTCACTCATGGGAATCAAAATGTTTATTTATTTGCTCTCAGTGAGTTAATGAGCACGTGATTACTGAGCTGCAAAGGGCCTATAAATACTACCTGTGCAGTTTCTAGGTGCCCATACTTGACAGCATAATGCAAGGGTGTGTTCCCTTTCGTTGTTTTGCCAGTTTTTGCGTTGACGTGAGATCCACACCTCAGTAACAAGTCTAAGCATTCAGTTCTTCCATACATCGCAGCCTCGTGCACAGGACGCCAGCCATATTTCTCTGGAATGTTGACTTGGGCTCCAAGTTTAAGTAAGACCTCTAATGCATGCGTATGGCCGTATCGGGCAGCGTAATGTAGAGGCGTCATCCTGAAGGAAATGTTTAAATAAAAAAGCAGTTCCAAACCTGCAGCAGGCGGTATATAAATATGAACAGAAATGCTAATGATAAAATTACTTTGCGGTTAGGGACAGCTTATAATACTCACTTTGTTATTGAATCTACATCATTTGCATCAACACCATGGGTTACTGCTCGTAATATCAAGTTCTCGCTGCCTTCCATTGCACCAAGGAAGAGCATTTTCTTGGGTTCCATCTCATCCAACAGCTTTTTAAGAGGGTATTTCTTTAGTCCTAGTGTGGTGGGTGAAGGAGTGACGACTGGGGGAATGGGTTGAATCTTACTTGCACCCACTCCCATTCTAAAGAAAATGCTTCAAGAGCACCTCGGAGACATTCGGATTGGAAACTTGCAGAGAATGCGTCGAAAAATTATGACGTCAATAATTGGCGCGCGCACGAGGAGTTTGGTAATCAGTATCTCGCATACTCAGTTTACGTTTCTCGTGCGTTTTCATTAGAGAATAGTGAAAAGGAATCGAAAAAATCTCTAAGTAGTAGATAAACAAAAGAATACTTGTCTTTGTCGAGAAGTTTTGCAAAAGGTAAAGTGAAATGTAGGTAAACGATGAAAACGTGGTCACGTTTGCCGTTTGCGGGAAGGAAAAGCGGGAATGTTAATCTGCCTAATAGCGCAGAATTCATCTTTCCTTTAAAAAAGAGACTAATAAACAAGTTATGATGATAAGTATATTTCATAATAAAGAGTGTTTATTTTCGGAAACCAGTTTTACGAAATGATGATTCCATAACTAAAATCAACTGGCCAAAGCTGGCAACGTTTACTCAATACAAACATTTTTAAAAAGAAAATTAAAACCCAAACTTTTCTAAGAACTACGGGAAAAAAAAAATCAATCGATAGCATGGAATGTAAAATGATTTATGAAATTTAAGTTTACCTAGAGATCCAAAAAACAAACAAACGGCACAGTGTAATAACATGTCTTGTGTTGATAACTTGAAGTGGTTTTACGTGAATTACGGACAAAGCTATCAACATAGGGCTTTTAAGCTGTGACGTATTTTGGGGTCCAATCACACAAAAGATCGCTAAAATCTTGCCACAAATTATTCCCAGGAATTATTAACTATCTTCAACAATCAGATACTATGAAAATCGCTAGAGTTGTAAAACGTCTCGCGGTGATAGATCTATTTTGGTACCACGTGTACTCATGCTTGATAGCATGCGGTTGTAGTAGCGTTCGATAGAAAAAATGGGCTTCAAAGCGGATGATCAAGCAGAAACGCTACAGATAAATTTACTAATGCAAACTTGAACTATTGCCACAATTATCTGGACTACATGCACTAAGTTGATCCGTTCAAACTGAAGATTTTCGACAAGACCGGTATTTCTTTTTATGACTGCAACAAGCGCTACGGCCACTCACTCAAGACAGTTTTATCCTTACGTGGTACACAAAAATCTCATTACGTGGCACATAAATCTACGGCCGTAAGACGTGCATTACATACCACTCTAGTGATTTCCATAGCATATTAATAGAAAATCCTGCTATGAAGAAAAAAACCAGAAAAATGTCTGTAGAAGTAAGTTTCGGGAAGTTTTCATTTTGGACCCGGAAGTCGTTTTTCGTTTGAATTAACTTAACAGCTTTATACAGCTATTTCAAAAGAAGTTGGTGAACGTGTTTTTGCTTGTTACATGCTGCATAACAACCCCGAAATACACTATGGGCGAAGTAAATAATGGAAAACCAGAGCGAAAAGGTAACCACAATATTTTACCAAACCTCGTTTGCTCTTTTTTGCATAATTTACATGTGAGCTCCAATGCATTTCAGGCTTTGTAGGCAACAAAATCTTCGCCAACCTTCCTGACATAGCCAGGCCGAATTTAGAAGATGCTTATGGTATAAATAATCACTATATCATGGACTTCCTTTCATTTCTTTAAATAATTTACGAAGAAGTTTTAAAAAGTCCTTTTAAAATTTTTTTATACTTCTTCCCTATAAGACTAGTAGTTTTGTAATTAAGATTCATCATAAAAATAATAGGTGCTTGAAATATCTGCTAAGTTTATCTTGGTACACCAGCGTGGAAAGCAGACTCAGCCACAGATACACGAAAAGGTCGGCTTGCTCTGAGATGAAATGAGGAAAGTGAGTCAGTCAATTAGCCATTCCGAGGTTGAGAAGAATGCTGGGTTGAGTTGGGGTTGCAGTGCATTGTGGGGCTGTTTTAAGGGACCAAATAGAAGCCATATTGGAAATATGTCCCCTAAACCAGTCCCACAATGCACTGCAATGCCAACTCGACCCAGCTTTTTTCTCAAATTTTGAACGGCATTAAAATTCTAGCATGGTACCGAGGCTCTCAGGAATAAAATGATCAAAATTTCATTAAACCTCAAAAGGATCAGTAGATATAGTGGTGTAGATTCTATTATAATGTTGTTGAATAGGGAACTGACTACTTGCATTCCACCAAAATTTTCTTATTGTGCAGTTTAAGAAATTATCCATACCCCCCACGGAGGAATTTGGAATTTCTGAGGGGTGGGGATCACAGAAAGTGGAGGGGGGATGGGGGGGTATGGATAATTTCTGGAACTACACATTATTGCGTAAAGGTAAGAACGTCGTGTACTGTACATTTCTAATTGATTTAGTGATTATGAAAGTGGACCACTATAGATACAGGACCCAACCACAAGTCCAAGAGCAGAAATGTGTATTAATTTTACCTTCTGTTTTGAAGAGAAAGAAAAATTGTCTTGAGCTCAAACCAAACTTGACGTGAAAGAAACTACAAAATAAAACCAATCCTTGTAAGCTTATTAACAAACATTACATGAATTAATTCAAGTCGGTATTCCTAATAGCTGATTTATGATTATTGCAGTATAAATGAAATGACTATAGCGGATGGTATGTGCCATTGAATTTTAGAAATGAGAAATTATTTTTAAAAACAAGCACCATGGCCACAAAGAGCAACTCGAAATTTTTGGAAAGTTTCATAGCTATTTAGAGAATTCCTTTAGAACAAAAAAATTATAGGTTCTACCTCAAACTTTTTAGCTTTGTTGATATCATACATCAGTTGTTAGATAAGCACCCAACTATGTATTACTATGGTTGTGAGTGCACACAGCTTTTGTTTGTTAGCATCATGTTTCATAACATCATTGAGCCATTTGTGCCCTGAAGATGTGCAATGTGCTTGAAAGCTCATTAAATATCCTTTTTGTTTGATTTAAATTTGAATTTAAGAAATAATGATAGTGAAGTGGCAGCCATATTTGCATTCAGTGTATTAGATTGTAAATTTGCCTAATTACACTGCCTGGTTATGTATGGAAGCCATTCCATATTTGCAAAAAGGTAAAGTTTACTTACAACAGCAGCAAAAAAATCAGCAGAAATCAGCATATAGTAGACATTATTCCATCCCTAGTTAAGATTAAACAATGTTATTAAATTAGACAGCTAATATACAATCAATGATATTGCAAAATCATTGTCAGGTTCAAGAACATTGAACATAGAAGCATCCATAGAAGCCGAGACCAGAAAGTATTGCTCCTGGAATATCCTCTTCATTCAGTGTAAAATCTTTATTTGTTGGTAGAAAAATGCTTACCATAATGCTATTAATCTTCGTAAGCATACACACACATCCCCAGTAACAATCCCAGAAACCCTTGAATGGCAATACTCGACCATTCCCTCACTCATTTGTTTTAAAAGACCAATTAGATGTATCTGATCTAAATTCATGTTCATAAATTGTTGCACTGACAGAATGCATGGAGGCTTTTAACGCACATTTCATTCGACTATGTATCTCATACATCCAGGCATATTTATGTCATTTCCCAGAATACCTTTCTGTATCACCTACTATGTTCTCAGAAGAAATAACTAGCTAAAATTAGTGTGAGCTGGGTTGGTATTTCTAATGAAACAGTAATGATAAAAAGGGAAATTATACACCATGAAAAGATGAAAAAACTTACTGACGTTTTGGACACTAGTCCTTCGTCTGAGTAAAAGAGAAAGAGGTGGTAGAAAGGAGTGTATATATGATAGAATAAGACAAAAGAAACCAATTAGAACAAGGTATGCAAGGAAACAAAAACAATCAAAAGACAAAAGAAAGGGTTAGTTGAAAGCAAAGCGTTCATTAATTCCGTTGGGACTAAGAGTGCCCAATAGGTGAATAAGCCGCATTTCTTTGGTCTTGCAACAATCATTGTTGCCGTTAATCAAAGAAAGCCCAAAAACAATGACTTCATTGTCTTTCTTTGATTAACGGCAACAATGATTGTTGAAGGACTAGCGTCCGAAACATCTTTTCACAGTGTATAATTTACCTTTTTATCATTTCTATGTTCTATGTTTTAAACCCCACAATAATTTTGTGATTAAGTGCATAATATATACTGATGCAGGTAATATTGGATAAATTGATGCATACCGTGGAGGATATAATACCAGTCAGGAGGGGACCAAGTGCTGCACCTGAAATGAGAACAAAATGAAGATTAATCATTGATGACAATAATCACCATGGTTACAGTATTATTGACTCACCAAATGAACCTGTTCCATCTATGATAGCTGTCACTGTTGCCATGGCTTTAGTATCACCCCTCAAACACTCATGAGTACCCTGTAAATGATATATAGAGTATAATAACACTAATAAGGTAGCAGTAACCATTTCCATGGTAACAAGGGTTTTAAACGTTACAATAGCTGCCACCAACACTTCACTATATGCATTAGTATAAAGACTATTCAATCAAATAAAGAAGACTTGTACATACCAAATTAGCAGAGACGGCAGTAGTGATGAGAGCATATGGTCCATTCACAAGCACTCCAGACATAAACATTAAACCTGCCAAGAGAATGAGGATACAAGGTAAGAATTAAGCATCGAGTCATTATGTTAGTCAGCAGTATATTCAGAATCTTAGGGAATCAAGGGTGGTGAAGTGGTAGTGCCCTTGCTTCTCATGCTTGATTCCTGGAATTGGCATCTCATATTGAATAGAGTTTGTTAGGGCCAATCAAAAAGTTGTACGTTTTTGCAGTCTGTTCACATGTTATTGTGCTATTAGGATAAAAATTCATATGCCTAGCTGTACAAATTTGGAACCTGCATCATTTTGCACTTGCATGGCTAAAATATTGACCGGTGCTGTGTCAACAACTTGCCTGGATATCTTTTCATACAGCAAGCTGTAGGTTGTGTGCTTTGCGCATGACCAGATGGAAAACTACTATGAGCATTATCATATTGATCCAGTTCAGTGTTAATCCTTTTTACAAAGAGATCCAGTTCCGTGTTAATCCTTTTTACAAAGAGACAGTTCCATGTAAAATGCTATGTACTGGTCAAATTTTTGACCAGTTACATATTTGTCCAGTACTGTGTAAACTCAGTTTAGGTCTATCCCTTTTCTGGGTCCTCTTGTTTTCCCCACCCTTTTCCCCCCTAGTCCACAAAACATGCTAAATTTCAATGTGATCTTTGAGTTTTTGATCTCTGAATAATCTGTGCCCTGATCAATCCAAAGGTTGTTTCAAGGTTTCAATAAAATTTAATGTTTTTTGGAATCAATACAAACACATTACTTTCTTAGGAACTTAAGCCCTTTGACTCTTGGCATTTTTGAAGTTTTTCAGTGCTTTTCTGTGTCAGGTAGTTTTTAAGAAAATGTGAAATTCAAGGATTTTTTTAAGGAACTGTGTGCACCCTGTAAAACCATCTTTAGATGCAAGGAACACTTAGAAGTGCTGTTAATGATCAGAAAACAAAAAATATTTCCTGTAAGACTTACCAATATTGAGTGACAAACTAGAATTTGCAAAAAATCTGTAGATAAAAAGCTGGATGGAAAAGATGGACAAATGAATGCCTCGTTAGAACATTGATCTGTATATATGTATATCTATATATGGTCAAGTGATACACAGTAATGAACCTACCATGGGCCCACCTAGCAACAGCATTACAACCACTGTAATACCACAACAATTTGTCTTGTCTGATACTACACCAGCAAATATACCACCTGTTGGTACATAGAAAGAAATGACATTGAAAAACTCTATTCTCCTTGGTGACCCCTGGGAAGAGATAACAAATTAGTGTAGACTCGTGGCTTTGGTTTTAGGCCCCTTTATGTGAAGGTAAGCCTGCTCTACTGCTAAGGCTAATTGTTTTTGGTGTCCCTGGGGGAAAGATCTAAAGACATGCTCCCAGCACCAGGGGTCATCCTAACTCCAAGTAAGTCCAGCCTTGATTTAGGAACAAAGGTAATATACTGTAGAATAGTGTATGAAAAAGTATAGATGAAAGGATGAAATTAAAATTATCGAAAGAGACATTTGGATACCTAATATTCCACCAAAGTCAAAAAATGTAGACAGGTCAGCTGACTTTTCTGGGCCATAGGTTTTACCACCAATATCTGAAGTCATGAATGGATGAGAAAATATCATTATAATATACAGACATTATAATATGGAACTGAAGCAGTTATGTATGTATTTTTCACGTCAATCATAAACTTACCTGTGTTCTCTAAGTAGAATGGTAACCAAAATAGGAATGTGTAACTAACCAACTTGGCAAAGAAAAGGCAGAGAGAATATTCCACAACCCCCTAAAAATGGTGAACAATATGGTTTACAAGTTGATCAATAATGGCAATATTTTACTCTGGCCATTCAGACCCGCATTTCCTAATCAAATAGCTCATGTATAAAGAATAAAAAACAAATTAATCTCTTATGAGAAGCATGGTTTGATCTGCAGACTAGCCATGATATGTGAGTAGAGGTTGAATGCAAAGCCACTAAGGGAAAGTCTATTGTTCTGGTCAACATGGCTGCAACATGATAAAGTCCATACATGTATATGATTAAACAAAGACAATTATAATTATCCTTTGAAAGAAATTATTATGACTTACAGGAATGAGCAGAGCTTTACAAAAGCCAATAGCCTCAGCATCTGCACCATGCTCACTTTTTTTCTAAACAAACACAATCATTCAAATTTATCAAAAAAACTAAATCAATTAAGTACTATGGATCAAATGTAGATTTAATAATTGGTTAATAATATGAATGCTTACCACAACTAATGATTCAGAATTAGCATATGTTCCTTCAGGACAAGAAGATAGCAGTCCTGCTGTCTCTGGATCCTAAAAAATACAAGATAAGGTGCTGTTCATTATTAACAGGGGAGGTGGTACTGGTTGGATTGATGTGTGTGTATGGGGGAGGGGGGGGGGGGGATTCCTTTAAAAAATCTGAGTCACACAGCACTTTAAAGTTTATAATAGCAAGAGAGGAGCAGATTTGTTTTGCAACAACAGACCAGGTCAGAATTTTTGTGTGGATTAACAATTACCAAGCAAATTGCACTGGCCCCTCTCCCTAATGAAACAAATGAATGGTCCCTAAACAAGTTGGAAAATGATGGTGATTACAGACAACAGTTTCTGGACAGAATATGACAAAATATTAATTCTGATTGCAACATCAAGTAAAGTACAGTGGAATAGTAAGACTGAGCCTCACCTCAACATCATTGACATATGCGATAATTTTATTACTCTCTATGTGATGTTTTGGAGGATTACATCCAACATGTGAAGGATCTGGTGAAAATATCAAATAGTCACCATTCACTCCTTTTCAGTCCTTTCAGTTTAAAGAAGAGAAAAACAGATTCTAGTTGGTTATCTCCTGTGCTTCAAGGGTTTTTCTCCGGATTCTCTGGTTTTCCTCCYTCCACAAAAATCAACTTCTAAATTCCACAGGTTTGTTAGCCTCTGGCTATTAAGTGCTACCTTCAAGGATGTTACTTTCTTTAATGGTTTTTCACATCCTCACACCCTTTTTTTACATGAGCGCATCCTTTGTTGGTACTTTTCACATTCTACAGAGAAGGGCAATGTCAACCATTTTGAAAACATGCTTGCATCATCGTTTCGGTGTCCATATCCTCAATGCTTCTCCATGTTTTATCATATCCAAAGTTATTATCTAGATCATGATGGGTATGTACTTACCTACTATTAGAAATAAAAAGACAATGATGCCCATTCCCATAATAATAAGACCAGGAACAATGAATGAATAGCCCCTAGAAAGAAAACAAACAAACACTAAATATTACACACAGGTGCCCCAACCCAAACAAAAATGTAAAAAGGCAAAGATAACCCAAACAACAATATGAATCACAACCCAAAATCAAAATTACAACAGAGCTCAAATTCTCCATTCTTCAGGGTTAGCCTTGACTAAGTACAGAATTTTTTTCATTATTTACATGTATGCATTGCAGTGAATGACTGTTTCCTGTTGAATTTCAAACTGTTTGCACTGACAAAGTTGTGCATTCTTTACTTTCCCATTGGTGTTTGTAAGTTTGATTGGGAGAGAGTTGCCAAAAAAAAAAAAAAAAACGTATTGTTGGCTCAGAATTTCCTCACAGTAGGAGAATGGCAATACAAACTTATTGTCAGTATTGAGTTACGTTGTCAGTTGTGACGGCTCAAAATTGCAAAAACTAATAAACATTTACACACTCAAATGAGGCTAGCCCTGAGTAAATAAATATGTAATCAAGAAACACAATTCAAAAATGGTCTGTTATTGAATTTTGCTTACCATTTGTCATCAGCCCAAATGCCTGCTAAAGCAGAACCAATGATGTTGCCAAAAGAGGTATGAGAATTCCATATTCCCATGATAAGGCCTCGTCTGTGTACATGACGATAAAGTTAGCAATGTAAATGTAGAGGTTATAGTATAAACAAATACAATAATAACAGATATCCTACCTTCCTTTACCAAACCAGTTACCAACACACTCCACAACACTGGGCCACCCTGAGGCCTAAACAACATGGGAGTTGAAAGGTTACAAAATAATCAAGTCAATAATTAGCTGGGTTTAACCAATCTCAGCACAGTGATTCATTGGTAAAACATCAAGCATTAAATTAATAATAATAATAATATATTTATAACGCGCATATTTCATGTGGATATGTTCATATGCGCAGAAATTAACTATGCCATTCAATTAAATAAATTGGATAAAAAGAAATATAGATATAACATAATATAGTATAGTATAGAATAATATAAATATATAAAATAAATAAAATATATAGTAGCATTCAATCAAGGCTGAAGATTGTTCATTGAACGGATCTTAATCAAACCCAATACTCTACAGTCATTAAATGGTTTGTTTTTGTACAATATCACAAGACAACTTACTTGAAAAAATCCTGCAAAAATCTGTTGATAAATAAGTATGCATTGTATAAAATCAAAATAATTGAAAATTATTCAAAAATACTTTTGAATAACAGTAATAATAATAATAATGAGCACTTTATATCTGATACTCTAAAGCCCTTGAGAAATACTAACTAAAGAAACTCTGTGATTTAAAAAAAAAATATATATATATACACCAACTTGCAAGAAGGTTGTCATTTAGCAAATTTACCCATTAGGAATAAATTATCACTGATGAAAGACTTGAATTCATCAGTAAGAAAAAGGTAATTTTGGAGGACATGATGTAACCGGCATGCAGATGCAGATGTAATTTCAAAGTTAAAACGGAAATGAATAAATAAAAAATAAGATCAGTATTTGTTTTTGTATGGTTTCTGCTCGTGTAACAATGTGGCTATCATGCAGTAAGGAGTATAATAACAATATTAAAAGAATTTCCCTTTAGACTGGGAAAACTATCGTAACTAAAACTACGAATTCTAGCGCTGCCTGGCAATTTTGATATGTTTGCTAGTCTGATGTCAGTGATAATTTATTCCTAATCGGTAAATTTATCAAATCATTAATTTACTAAATTACAAATTAATGTTCTATTCTTGTATGACAACTTTCTTGCAAGTAGGTAAATATTTATGTAAAAATGTGACTAATTGAAAAACTGTATACTGATAAAATAATCAAGTTCAAGTTCAGTTTATTTTACACTTTTAACAAAAGAAGTTACAGAATAAGAAAAGATTAATGACAGATATTAAAAAAGAACCTAATTAAAGATAGTTTTAAATAATGATGTCAATTATGAAAAAGTGTGTAGTGGTCAAAGGAGCATAGCTTTCGAGTTGACCACTGCACTGGATAGGTAAGGTGGAATGCTCAAATGCCAAGTCTTATAAATATTTATAAGAGCTTCGGAGCTAAGAATAGTTGTTCTTTATATAATAATAAATATAGAAAATTTCATTTTCAAAACATTTCATAGCGGAGCTCCTGCGCGGGCCGAAGGGCTGCACAAGCGGAGCACCATAGGTATAGAATATGGTAAACTATGCAACTCAGTTTTTGTGGTCATCGCATGGGAGCCCTGTGCGTAACGCTAAAAGTGTCACCCGCCAGGTGTACATCGCGTTTCTGATTGGTCGAGCTTTCAAATCACACGTCACTTGGAAAATGACGACTTTTTTTAACAAGCTTTTTAACTATCTTTTTTTTTGTAAAAATTGTAAAAACAAAACAAAAAATTATGGAAGAAATCATGGAGAAAAAAAAAGAATTCACCACAGTGTGAAGATAGAGGTTAGGACATTTTTTATTTTGTTTTATTTAGTGTAGATAACATAGCTACAACATTATCGGAAAACAAGCAACAAGGTTGTTTTGTTCTTATGGTAAGAGTATTCGTAGTTCATACATGATATAAAATAATCATTTGAAAAAGCACTTTTTGAATTCCACAATATTTATTAAACAAATCCAAGAGATTTTTGACAAAGTTTAAAGCTAAATAACATTCCTAAAATTACCGGCAAACGAGCAACGAACTAGAATGACAAACGTGCGAAAAAAGTGTACCTGTTTTGTTATTATGGTAAGAGTACTTTCATTTTGAATTTCATTCAATAACTTTATACTTCTACAGATAATTTATCTAAATATTGAATAAGTTTTAAAATTACACCAAATATTCAACTGTTTATTGAGCTTTTCAACCTAGTACATGATTATAAAAATTAGCTTAAATTTGTGTTGCTGTGAGATATGTTATTGTATAAAGAGCGGTATCCTTGTCTTTTTGTCTTTTCAAAAGCTAAGAAAATATTTAAGAAAATTTCCAAATGCCAATTTACTAAGAAAATTATTTAATTTTGTATTTGCATTGCATTTTGCGTTATTTTCTATTTTGCCTCAGTTGTTCTTGTCAAGTATAAATGAATGTAAACTTATTAGTTTTTCAAAAACTTTGTTGTTAACAAGATGAAAACTGGTAAAATTGAATTTTCAAAATCTAGTTAAGCTTATGTTTTCAAGCTTCTCGAAAAATAGTTAAGACTTTTATGAATGAAAATATGGTTCTTGTAAAAACATAAAACTTTTGATGTGGATAATGAACCAAACATCGTTATTAGTGTAAAAGAAGTAAAAGTAAGCTTATGTATTTTGCTCACCTTTTTTTTACCAGTTTTCAAGTCTGTTTCATAGTCTTGATTTGTCCATAAAAGTTCGCTCCAAAATTTCGATTTCAATGAAATGGATTATTTGTAGTTATCTTTCGTTTTATAAGTAAAATAACCAGGAATTCAAAGCTTAAAAAATGTCGTCAATGGAAAACTTTGTTAAAGGATCTTCCAAGAAAAAACTTAGCCCCTGGGGGGGGTTGGTGGTGAGTTGTGTACAAAATTCATATAAGTGGGATCAGGAGAGTATCCTCGTGCAAAGAAAATGATGTAGCGCATTTTGATTCGTTTTCAGTGCATGTTTTATGGGAGACATTATCTTAATATTGAATAAAAGAATTGAAGATTTTTTTCCGATTTTAATTTTATCTTCCACATTCATTCAAATTGGGCTCCCTGTGACTTGCGTATCGGGAGCTCCGCTTTTAGGCAGTGCCTAAATATATTTAATAATTCTACAAAAACTAATCAAATTAAAAGATACGATGCTATTGCTAATGTGGAAATGTGGAAATAGGAAAGTCTGTTTCTTGAAAGAGTTAAAGTCAGTTTCCAAATGAATAACTTCTGGCAGCTTGTTCCACAGCAAGGGAGATTGGAAAGAAAAACTTCAAAATTCAAAAGTACTCCAAAAGTACTTTCAAACAATACTTTTATGAAAACAGCTTTGACAAACAAGTTTCTTTTAAGGTATCAGGGTACCCCTAAATTGCTATTAAAGGTTGATTTTAGGTTTTTACATTTTCCAAGACAATACACAATAAGCTACTATTTTCCAAAAATAATTTCCAATTTTAATAGCGCGTAAAAAACAAAAAAGTGCTTTTAAGCTTTAATAGTTTTCAATTTATTGTTTTTGATTTTATGATTCTATCAGGTTTGATAGATTCTGGACTGTAAGATCATTTGTCAGTCTTTGTGCTTTTTTTATTTATTGAATAAAAAGAGCTTGGTAAATAAAGTTCTTATTTTGTAAACTGACTTCTCAATAATATTTCTTGATTTTATTGCTATATAACGAAACACTTAAAGTCTGGTCTTGAGGGAAAATAAGTTAGTTTTGTTTTACCTCGTGTTTCGATGTTTCCTCTGCTTTGCCTGGGGATCCTGACTCTCAGGAATTTAAACTAATAATATTAAACTATTTCCCTCACGACCAGACATTAAGTGTATAATGCTATGAATATATTATACAGTTTTAAGAAAATACTAATGAAATTTTTTTTTACTTGAAGAAGAAAAGGAAATATAATAATATATTAAATATATAGTTTTAAGAAAATGCAAATAAATAAATGATGATAAATAAACAAATGATGATAAATAAATAATAATGATACGGTAAACACTATGCATTACCTGAACAGTAAGGAAATATGCAAGGCTGTGAATCTTCCAAAAAAAACCCATTCCAAATAAGATAGTAAATATGCCAGATGTAAACATGCCAACCGTCAAGAAATACCTGAGGTCCATGTGCTCTGCAACATACCCACTGAATGGTTGAAAAAAAATAGAATAATCATGTATCAAGTATTGATTAAAAATCAACTTCTAAATTCCAATTGGAATCAAATGGAAGAAGAGCCACTCTGTCAAATCCACTGTTAATCCCATTATTGATTATTATATATTTATCATTTATTCATGTATGTAAGTATGAATAATTCCATGCATGATGATGCCAGTTTGTATATGGGTGTAATTGGGATGCCTCTTTTGCTTCGTTGTTTGTTGTGCACATTTCAGACCATGTGATACCACTCTTGGGAGTTGATTGTTTCATGTCTAATATTTTCACATGTTCGTCATAAAAGAATGACTCTCAAGGGAATGTCATGTGATCTGAAATGGGCAATTTGCATACAAAGCTAAAGAGGTCTATTCTTACAATGTCTTTACAAGCATAATATAAAAGGGATATGTCATAATATGGCCATAGACAAATGGGTGTCTCACCAACTGTGGAAGGGTAAACACATATTTTTGATAACACACTATGATTCATCTTTTTTTTATCTTACCTTACAAACATACCCAGAGCATATGCAAACAAAAACCCAAGATCCAAAGCACCAAGCAGTTCCTTGCCACTTGGACCATCTAATATGTTTCAAAATGACAATATCCTCATCAGAATAATTAATTTCAGAAACTACTTTCCATTAAAAACAACTAATATCTACAAGCGTTAATGAAAGATGGTGGCCTTTTCTTACCAAAAGGAGCCCAAGCTGAACAGGAAGTAGTTAATGTCATTTGTAGAACTGAAGAGTTTGTCGCATTACTTAAACTTTTTTTGAAGCGTGGGTGAAATAGACCAAGCACAGAGTGTACGTCTCTATCAGTACAGTTTACGTTTAATGACCCCTAAGAGAAAAAAATCCAGCATAAATTTGAATTTTCCGGAATTTACTTTTGTTTATAGCTTGTCTGTCAAAATGATTGAAAAGATATATTATTAAACTCAAATCCAGGCTGACTAGATCTTACCCTGCCTGCAGCTCTTGTGCAGTCAGGCACACCCTGACTTAAATCAACAGGATAGCTTGTCACATCCTACCTATCATGTGTAATATAATTGAATTATGACCTACCTTGACAATACTAATTGGCTTCCTGGAAAGGTGGTAAGTCATGTAGGTAAAAAAGGTCAAAAGAAGAACATGCCCTCGATACCTAAAAATGATAAAAGTACATAAACAATCTATAAACGATATATTTATATATTAGATGTGCTTTTAAGAATAGATGGTATAATTACTATGTAATTGAAGTCACCTAAATGATTCAAACTTACAGCCTATTTCTGTCTTTTCCCAGCCACTGGAAAAAGCGAATCCCAAAGGGGACTTTTCTTGTATGTTGTACGAGTCTAACGTCCTGGTTCATTTTTAAGTGTGTGGAGAACGATTATTCTCGGACAATAAACAGGAAACAGAAGCGTTCGAAGTTTGATAGCTGGCAAAGACTTTCACAGTTTGGTAAACAGGACAAACAATTGAGAATAATACATCTCCACTAAAATATTTAGAGATCTCTGAAAGAAAGAAATAATTTTTACCGGTTAAAGATGAAAAAAATAAATAACATTGATGATCAACTACGTAACTAAATCACATTCAAAACACATCATTCTTCTCTACTGAGATCTTTACCTTCTGGTTTCTTCGTGTTAAGAATTGCTTCGATTTCTTTTAAAAAGTAGAAAAACAGAGAATTTAAGGAAAGAAAAAACGGAAATCTAGACGACACTTTGGACAGAATTTGAGTTGGCACAAGGGCACGTGATTCATGTGATGTTTAATCACATGACGATTACTTCACGAGACAGAGCCGGAGGTGGTCGGAAGAGGTCGGAGTAAACTCGTTACGTCGTCAGTTCGGGTCTGTATTGTCATAGTAACAAGTTGGAAACATCGTTCTGCATTCAGACGAAGTTAAGAAAGCATAACATTTTGAGGCTTTTGTTACAATATTTCAAGAAAATCAAGCTTTTATTCATCATGTCGACTCATTTCAGCGCGAATCAGGTTGGTTTCACCATTAGTATTATATATTTATGTAAGTTCAAAGTTATTTTGCTGTCTAAAAGCACGAATCCTAAATGGTTCGAATTCGAAAGTCAAAACTTTATTATTTTCCCTTTTTAACTCGTACATCATAATTCGGTGTAATATGCATGAATTTTTCCTTTTTTTTAACAGTACGAGCAAGCATTTGCCGCCAAGCGTCTTCAAAATTGGGAAGTTCCTCAAAGGTTCAAAGAGGTGAGAGAAAACTAATGTCCCATCTCATTGTTTACATACTGAATTATAGTTTGTTCCGATTATTTATCAAGCTATCTGAAATATTTTGTCATTTTGTTCATTCCTAATAGAGACCATCTACTCTAGAAGGCTTTACACGCATTATAAGCAATGATCGAGGCCATATTCTTGAGGGAATACCACGTTCAAGTAAATCACCATGGGGCGAGTTCGTGGGAACATGGGAAATGCAGAAACCACCCCTTAGAACCAAGACACTCAAAACAAAGGTACGTTAGATAGTGAATGCTATGTAATGATTGGTATATATCTTTGGTTTTTCCATGAAGGTTGGTTTTTTCTCAAAAGAATGAAATTTTCAGCTGTTTTTTCCTCTTTTTTGATGTATACTTCTCTATCTCCCATAATAAACACTCAGTGGCATATTTAGGAGGGGTAGGGGGCAATGGCACCCCTTTTCTAAGTCCTAGATCTACTACTGACACGGGTGTCATTACTCTTGCATTTCTTATTATGAATCAATAAAGACCTACTGTATGTAAGCTATCTCCTGAACGGTCATTAAGTTCTGTAATGTTCTTTATTTGGATTGTTTATATTTAGGCAATGGCTGAAAAAATGCACAATGAAGAAAAAGCAAGGACACCATCACCTACAAAATTACGAACCCCTTCACCACAATGTGCCTCTCCTGTTCCTGGGAGTCCTAGTCCTAGAGGAACACCAATTGAGAATAAAAGTCCAAGTCGGTTGAGTGCAAGTCCTAGAAAAACACCACAACTGAGAACACCTAGTCCTCAAAAAACCCCTGAACCTGCACGTAGCCCAAGCCCCAGACACACACTTGTGGACAGGAAAAGCCCTGTTAAAGAAACAGACAATTGATTTCATACTTTAAGATAATAATATAGATGTAGAGATGTAACTTGATATGATTATATGCCAGAAAACTCTAAATCAGTGGACATTCTTCTCTTCTGTAATATCGTAGTCTTAACACTTGTAAATACTATGGTGATTTTGATCTGGTGATAAATACAGTAAATCAAATGATAATGCAATGAAAAGGGTTTATTTATCTATTTATTGTCATATAACGGTAATTTTTATAACCTTATGAATAGTTACATTATTTGGTTTGTCGATTTTCCTTGTGCAACTTTTAACAGACCATTTATTAAGCCTTTAGTAATACCTTGTGTAATACACATGACATAGTAAGGTTTTTTCAGTTTTCACATGTACGAATGACTTCAACCTGACAATTTGACAACACTGGTGGCTGTCTTTATCAGAATGATTCAGGAAAAAATGGTGAAGAGGCAGCATATAGCAGGAAGCAAAGGTTGGGTGGGGCAGTCACTGAAAGTTCTTTAACAGCTTTGGGGTCACGCTCCTCTAGTATTGGGTAAGTGGATTTATAGCGCATACAGAGTACATCCCCTGGACTAGATGCAAGGATGAGTTACTAATGTCTGGAAACTGAATGTGCCGCCAACACATGGTTGGCTAAAAATACATTAATAATGTCTTCGAATTCTTGAACTTCATAAAGTTTAACAAGGTTCATTTAACAGATGAGGTATGTCAACTGGTCAAGTTCTTCCAAACTTATTGCCACTATTTCCTGATTGGCTGATGATATTCTTAAGCAAGAGTATCAATGGCAGATTTTTCTAGGAAAAGGCTGACCATGTATTTTTGATAGGACAGAGTTCACCAGCAACCCTTTGCATGAGTGTGGTCAGAATACTGCATATGCTGTTGGTTCAAGAATCACAGGTGCAGCTCTCTAGCTTGATAACAGTCTGTTATATTCTGTTATGAGACTTGATTTACGTATTGTCTCCCACGATCTTGCTGCATGATGAAACCTAACCAACACAGTGAGAAAAATATATATAACTTTTCACTATAGGCACTGAATAATTTGATGCTGCTGACCTCTTTAGTAACCATTATAAACTACTAAAAAATAAAAATAAAAATAATGATAATATATAAATATAGCAATTACTTATCCGTAGCCTTACCAGTTTTTCTCTGTCAATGTGTGTTGAGTTAAGGGGTGTCGATGAGTAGAAAACACCTGATAGAACAATACAAGGATTAAATGAAAAGAAAGGGATGAAAGAAATGGAAAACAACAAAATAGGATGAAAACAATTAAATGGGTTGCATGAATGATGTTCATGTGGATCAAACTTTGTACCGGATATTACTCCGGTACAGACTCTTCCATTTGATAGCATCACACAACACTCATACTGTACCAGTAAACATACTATTGTCAGCAGTTTCATTGGTGCACATGCATAAGAATTGATTGGTATGTCGGTCACTTTGGTTCAAACCTGCTGTGAGCCCCATGGTATCCAGGGTACTTTAAGTATCTTAGTGGCCTTGCTGTACTCCCCCCAACCTGAAGTTTCTATTATAGTCTATTTTCTTATTTCCCACCCTTCCTTCCCTTGCGTTATTGTGGTTATTTGGAGAGCTCCGCCAGGTCTGCTCCTATTATCATGCATCAGTATAATGAGACCCATGAGAACAGAATACTAATACTTCAAAGTGTAATGCCAAGAATGGCCAACATGTGAAGTTGATGATGTAATATTTAACCAATGGGTCTTTTTCATTTGGCAGCAGGTTGGTTTGAACAATAGATTCCACCACTTGTAGCCTCATGTTCAAGTGCTTCAAAAAAATTTTATAGGACTTAAACAAAAATCTTGATTCTCATGAGAATAAACATGTCTGCCATGTGGTGCATAAAGCTATAACATGGTACCTGATTTCGTAATGCTTGTAAAACCAACTCAAAGCTGGGGAAGCCTTTATATGATGGCATAATGCCATTGCCTAATTATAAATAAAATAAAAAGATTACTAGAGTGCACGCACTAAAACCATGAACATTAAATAGTACTAATTAGTACTATTTCATACAGAATCCTTTGTCTTCTATTGTTTAATTATCACCATTTAGTGCTAAAAATTAGTATTTGTTTCACGGATTGAGTGTGAGCACTCTAACATACCCAGTATATAAAACATATTGTCAAATGATCTTAACAGGAAAGAAATGTTCTGTGTTACAGAAAGGGTGCAATTCAGCTAAGGTTACTTTCATTGTTGAGCTCCCTGTGGATTCTTGTTAACACAGGTAACCCATAAATTTGTGAAGTTTAAAAATTCAGTTTGATGCCATTTGGGTGCACATGGGCTGAGAAGAAAAATAGGCCCTTTGGATATATAGGCTAATCAAGAGATTTATTCAATGAACCAATGATAAATTTGCATTCAACCTAATCACCTGAGTGATGTCCATTTGTCTGGCCTTCATATGCTGGGATGAGATGAATATTAATATTATCACATGACATCAGACTACTGTAAGGTAGTAACCCTGATCCTACTAGGGACAATCCACCTAAAACAATATAAAATTATGTATCAAAGTGATATTTTTATTGAATTCAGGTAATTAATTTTGCATTCCCGTTACTTTGGTTGTACCACGAGGATTATTATTGGGCCCAATGCCCAATTTAAAATAAAAACAGACAGCATACATTCATTAAGTACTGCAATAATTTGTCTTTTAGTTTTGGAGGCTGTGAGGTTGCGATGTACAAAATTTCAGTATCGCACTTCCTGATCCAGGGGTACTAGGTATCCCCACCCCTCCTGACTAAATTGGAAGTACACACACAGAAAAAGACCACAGCAATACCATAAAACAAACATACTGTGCAACTTGAGCCTTGAGTGTTGAAATAAAGAAGTGGTGACGGCATGCATTGCACTGACATTCTCTGGCTCATAGTCCTCTCTTGTTGCCTTGTTATACACAAACACTAACATCAAATAAAGATACAGTGAGGGATGATTGATTCTTGATTGATTGTAGTTATATCAACAGATAAACAAGAAAACTGACCAACTTCTGGATAATGGTCCTCGGCATTGTCAGAAGCACTTGACCTAATTAAAGAGAATAAAATTGGAATTTAGTTAGAACGTATTCCATTATTAGAGATGAGTTCATGAGTGTGGTAACAACGAGAGTCCAATTTATCAGGCATGTTTGAAAGTCAAATTTACATGTTTTGACTAATTTGCTTATGGATTCAGAGCATGCGCAGACGTTTTTCACTTGTGTCCGTATAGTATGAATGTGTCCTGCCATGAGCATGATGGTGCTGCATCCAAGTATTTTGATTGGATGAGGTGATTGTGTGCAACCTTGGCCGAACAGTTGTACTTAAAGCTTCATAATCATGCAAAAAATGCTCTATCTAAATAAAGAACAAACCAGGGAACTCACCCAGATGACTCATGCGAGTGTGGGACTGACGATGGCTTTAACATCTCTGCACTCCTTAAAAGTCTTTAAAAAGATACTATACTTTACTAATTTAATCTTTCTGTCCATGTCCATTTGGTTTTGACACATACCAGCTAAGTTGTCTGTGTTCCCCTAAAGGGAATATGGGTCAACTATTTTTGGTTAGCATTTTCCTAGCAGCAGCCGAGTACATTTCTTGTGTTGAATGATTATGAAGAGAATTCCACCATGAGTTCAACTGGTAGCATTTACAATAAATTTAAATAATGAAAAATTCGTATTTAATAGGTTCTCTTGGCAGAATCATGGGAAAAGCTATTAAAATATGATGTTGAATCCTCACTTCTGATTGGTTGACCTTGAGTTTGTTCTGGTCAACTTAGCTGGTAATAAACCATTACTGACAGTGAGCTACTTATATAGAGCACATGTTGTGATTAACACATTTCACCTGAGATAAAATTCTGTTTATTAATCAGTTTAAAAAGTTTAATAAATAAGTGTGAATTACTCATTATTTATATTGTCAATCTGCACTTTGCGCTAGCTTACAAGCAATATTAAAAATAAAATTTCCTTTTTATGTTTATGAGCTTTTTGTATAGCAGTCATATCACATCTTTACAACTTTGTTCTTTTCCTCTACTGAATTTGTTGTTGTTGTTGTTGTTTTTAATTATATTTTTCTCATTATTGACATAATTTTACTTGCTTCCCTTTCCTTTTCCTTTTATTTTCATGTTCAGAAAAAGCAGCTCCACTCATACATACAGGACAATAAGTTCAGGAATAATGATGATAATTACATGATGATGATATGTCAGTGTGGCACACAAAAGTATGACCAAATTTAATGTATTTGCATGTTTCTGTACACTGCCTTTTTGCTGCCAAATGAGCTCTTAAATGCCTTACATGCATTTGGTAAAACCAGCCAGCTTTGCACTGAAATGTGTTGTTTTAATGTACTAAAGCCTGTTCGCCATTTCATGCTAATAATGTTGATAATGACAAATTAACAAAAGATCAATATTAATAGTCTCACATACCTTAGAAGATTAACATCTGTAAACCAATCTTGAACCACAAGGATGACATGACAAACAGTAAGAAGGAATGTCACAATTTGAAGAGACTGTAAAGAAAAGCAAAGTAAAACAACGTGATATGTATTGAAATAGCTGGACTAGAGTCGTATTGGTGGGAGGTGAATGCTCTCACTGCTATGTCAGCCTAACCTCCATTGCAAACGTTTCATATGGTTTAGGGAAGTGAACCTCATAAAACATTTGCAACAGAGGCTAATGCCAGCCATGCTTCCCTTAAATAATCATATTAATATAATAAAATTGAATATTCCTTTAGCTTTCCACTTCATGTGCTCTTTAAGGACACTGGTCAACATACCTGCATTTCATGATAGTTTTCTGGTGTTGAGTATTCAGAAGGAATGCTACGATCATAATGAATCAAGTGGTCTAGAATAGATGGACTGAGAAGAGGCTACACAACAAAGAGAAAATTTGATCTCACTATACACATTCACGTTCAAATCTTGACAAATCAAAAATTATGGAAGAGAAATATTTTTTTAATAGCGGCTTTGCACCATCACGTGATGGCAGCCATGACAGGAGGCACAACAATAGAATCTCTTTCCCCTGGGAAAGTGAGTTCTTTCTCATGTAAATTAGATTAGATCAGATTCAATTGTTCCTGCCTCCTGTGGCGGCTGCCATCACGTGATGATGCAAAGCCTCTATTGTAAGTAACAAGTTTTAATACCTGCGTATCGAGTAGCAGAACCCTTTCTGAGGTGACGGCTATGTTGACACCATTGCTTTGATGAGATCCAGCCTCCTGAAACAGAGTCAGTTATTGTATATTTTTAACATTTAACAATGTGATTAAGATGAAAACATTACTGATTCATTTTTCAATTTTGCTAAAAGTGATTTGTACCTGGGTTGCTTTAGACTGGGGATCAAAGAGATAGGACCTGCAACAATAACAGTCAGAGTGGCTCTTTTAATCTCAGTCTGGACACAACATACCTTCGAATAATGAAGCAAGATTAGTTTATTATTGCATATTGCTCTGACCTTGGATCAGTCCTAGGTGTAGCTCCAGCTAACATGGACAAAATAGTTGACTTCCCAGCTCCTTGTAATCCTATTACACCAACCACCAAGAAGTCTGTCTGATCTGCAAGAATCTATCACAAAAATAGACTTTTTTGATATCACACAATTTACTTAATTAATTCAATGTATCATAATAATCAATGCATCATTCAAAAATCTAATTATAATCTTTTAATTAATCTATATCTAATTATCATATAATTACAAATTAAGAGACGATGGATTGAAGGCAAAGCATCAGAAAAATTGTCAATTTGGTTTGGGTTTTCTGGAGCTTGCAGAACCTGTGCACAAAAATGCTATACCATTTAATACATTAACCCTTATACCATGCTTAATTGTCATATATTTCCTATTTCCCTCCCTCCTTCCTTTCTTTTTTTCCTTTTTTTCTTCTTCTTTTTATTTCTTTTCCTTTCTTTCTTTCTTACTTTCTTTTTTTGCTTCTCACAGAGTAGAGAAAGAGGAAACCTTTGCCAAGCAGAGTACTCTTTCTACAACGGTACTCACATCAAGCGCAGCATCTGTCCAGTGGAGGCTGTCATCCAACATTTTCACAGACTGAAGAGAGATTTCTTTGTCTACTCCACTAATTTTCAGTGATGCAAGATTACTACTCAGACCTTCTGATAAACTGCCTGAAACTACAACATAATTGATGACTCTTAAAACTTGGGCTTAGCTTCCAATCCTGGAGTTGCTTATTTCTGCCTTTTTTACCAACCTCAGAAGTGAGGCTAAGCCCGCATACACTGAAGTTTTAAGAGTAATCAATAAAGACATGTAAAAATGTAAAACTGAACTTATAATACATCCATCTAGTTTTTGGAGATTAGCAATCACTGTCAAAAGTATGGGGCAAGTTCTCAGCATGCTATGGGAAACACAATCCCTCAAAAGCAGGATTTTTATGACTTTTTGAAAACTCATGGCTCACTTCAGACAAAATCTTTTCTTCAAGACTTGTAGAAATCACCTATTAATAACTCTATGGTTTTCAAAGGTTTCTCCTGATCAAACGCTGCCTGAAAATGCCTCTTTTTTATATCTGTGTCTGCGATATTTATAAAAGCACCTGAGCATCTTGGAAATTGTCAAGTGCATCATACAGCTTTTCTGGGTGGCGTAGGTGATGTGTGCTGTTACAACACTATTTCTCACAGCTTTATAGTTCTGACCTGGGTAACATGTTTGGTTCTCAACTTGACTAAATTGCATTTATATGAAAATCGAGTTTGTTTGATGTATTGTTCTCTTCCTGGCCACAAGGGTTTGGAGTGTTGTTATATATAAATAATGAATGCACTTGATAGCAGTGGTTGTAGAGCGAACACTTCATGGAAGAGCCTCTTACGGGGAATAATGTCTGTAAAATATAAGTATTCTCTTTTTACCTGTAGAAGTGGTGTTACGTTGTATGCCTTGAATGGATATTGTTCCTGGAGCTCCTATTACTCCTTTCTCTTCACCCCCCTGTGCAGTGTGCTGCTCTTCTCTTGGTGGTTTGGTCAGCATGGTTAGTAGGTTGCTAGGCAATGATGTAGCAATAGGTGGCATCTTTTCTTCAGATGGCAACTCCCTGCAAAAACAAAAGGCATTTATGAAAGACTTTTTCCTACTTACTAAAAATCATTTTATCAAAAGTTTTGTTAATAAAAAATCTTACCTTGATTTCAAAAGAAGCTTAATGGGAGAATCTTGGTTCTAATGAAAATAAATTAATGCCTTTTAATATTTTATACATAATAATTGAAAATAATTAAGCTTAATATTTAAATGAAAAAAAAAGCTTGAGATTTGGAGATAAACTAAATAACACAAAATGTTACCTTTTCACCAGGGGCTTTAGTCAGGATAGTGGGCGTTTTCATTGGTGGCTGAGCTGAACTCTCTGCTTTTCCCTTAACAAAACAAACACTAAAATAATTAAACTTAACATCGGTTAACATACAATGCACAAACACCCAGCCTACTTAATCGATGACAATCGATCATCGGAAATCAATCAATAAATTGATATCAATTGATGAAAATTAGTTAATTGATATCGATTGGTATCGGTCAATCGATGATCAATCGATAGTCACATGAAGACCATCTGCTAATCACATTGATTGGCATCGATTGATATCGATTGGTATTGATCTACCTAATCTGCCAATGAACAATGGTGTGAAACTAAATGATTGATAGATGTATTCTTCATTAATATGATTACAACAATGAATCAATTTCTCTTGAAACTTTCACATTGATACCGCTTAATCCTGTAGATCACTACGGTGTTTGTTTCATAGCAGTAAAGTTAATTTTTCGAATTTGGTTTTCAACATTTCTTTGATATATTTACGTGACTGGTTTATGAAGTTTATGTCTGTAATGGCGCTTTTGGCTTATATTTGATAAAAGAGATCCTTGTAAATGAATCATGTAATACAACCAGCACTATTAGTCAATAGATGTTTATAAACCCCTGAATAAATGATTGTTGCAAGATTTAATGTGCTTTTAATTCAGGCAGTGATCGCTAAACACTCCCGCTAAAACCAGTCTCAAAACACGGATAGACTCTTGTAAATCGCACATGTTTTAGTTTGATTTTTTCAATTTTTTACATTCACACAGCCTTATTCGATATATTCTATGTTTTAATTTACAGCAGTATACAATTCATATCATATATCATTCAACCGATAGCCTTTTATGGAAAGTGCCCCTATATGCAAGGCGCCCCTATATGCAAGGCGCCCCTATATGCAAGGCGCCCCTATATGCAAGGCGCCCCTATATGCAAGGCGCCCCTATATGCAAGGCGCCCCTATGTGCAAGGTAACGTTACCAACCCCCTCGCTAATATTGCATTCTTGTCTTAAAAGTATGAGCTAAGAATATTCTAACTAAGGCAAAACATTAAGCGCCTGTGGTTCTGTTATACAATACATTATGTACACGTTTATAAGGTTAAAGCTCACAAACCGTGAGTTTAGTTTATTTTGAAGTGGCTTTCTTTATTCTGCCGTGAATTTATTGCCTTTTGCCGTGAATTTATTGTCTTTTGCCGTGAGTTAAGTTTATTTTGCCGTGAGTTTAGTTTGTTTTGCCGTGAGTTTTTGTTTTGCCGTGAGACTTGTGGGCCACCGTACTAATGTGAGGAGTGGTAAACCTACCCTCTGTGATCTTTCTCTGTATCCTCTATCTCTTCTTCTTCCTCCTCTACCACGCGATTTTTCTCCTCTTCCTCCTCCAAAGCCTCTGTCATCCTCCATCTTGGCCGGGAACCTGGTAATAACCACAGGGAACCCAAACTTGGTTTAATACTGATTCTTTAAACTAGCTAAACAGCCTCCTTTTTCCCTCAGACTTCACCGGGAGATAAGAAAAAGGTAAGAAAATCGAATCAAAAGCCATTTTCTCATATAAACGTTTGATAATTTCTTCATTATAACTGCCATTCACAGGAATGTTTGGGCTGCCTGTTTTGCTAGTGACTGCATTGCATTGTGGGAGCAGGATGACATGATCCACCGATCGAGGAAACCAAAAACAGAAAATATTTTCCTTCGATTTTTAGCGTTTGTTTTTAACTGTTTACACTATGGATTTACGTAAAGTACCAGACGAGGAGAAAGTTAGACTCTGTAGAAGATACACCATAAGTAAGTTTTTCTGTAAAGTTGAATTTTATCTTCATAAAATTCAATTTTTTGGGTGACCATTTCTGAACAAACCGAAACATGTTTTAAAACATACTTCATTTCCGTTTAACGATAATTACTAAATATCATAATATCAAGATATTAGGAATATTATCCTAAGTAACAATACTGTTGTTTTTTTAGTTGGTTTAGCGTTTTTACCGTTCCTGTGGTTCATCAACGTCGTATGGTTCTTTAAAGAAGCGTTTTGTAGAGAGAGATTTCCTGGTCAGAGCAAGATGAGATCTGGTACGTAAAATTATCAAGTTTCTACAGTCATTATCATCACACCTTCCTATTATAATTATCAATTGTTTAAACGATAATTTCTTCCTTCTAGATATAGTCAAGTCAGCCATAGGGCTAATTATATGGATTGCAGGACTAACAACATGGATTGTGATGTTTCAAAAGAACAGAGCTGAATGGGGATACTATGGGGATAAGATTTCATTTCTCATTCCTCTCGGAAGGCCATAGCTCGGCTTGTAGAAAACCTTTTAAAGCTGCCCTTGGAAATTGGTATTAGTGATTCTTATATTCACAACATACACAATGTATATACGCCCATCAATTGGACTAAAGCCAGTGTCTATACCAGTATTAATATCATAAACGTTATACTGCTATTAATTCAATTTATGGTCAACCCTCAAATGATAGAGCCAGCATTGAGTAGTCCAAAGAAATATCGGTTTTGTATGTTTGACTCCCCTCTTCCCCATCAAAAAGTTGAATATGAACATCTTAGAATATAGACCCTCTAATCATTGGGCCCTTTGTATTTTATTTTTCCCTTGGGACCAATGATGTCTTTGTTAACATTTACCCCCAAAACTATAAGAGCTTTACAAGAGTTCCTAGTGGAGCTCAATTGAAAGACGTGATCATGACCGGCAACTGATTGGCCGTTATTATAAGCCCTGGTTGCTGCATCAAGTCTCTAAATAGCTAGTGGTCTAACTGACATTAGTAGACAGCTTTGGATCTTGGTTCAAGGCATGGATCCTAGTTAGGTTCATTGGGTGTCTATAAACTTTATTTCCCTGCCTAGTTTTTAAATTTTTTATACAAATGTTGGGATAAACCATCATAAATGCTCAACTTTAATTATTAGATTTGATTTACTTATTTCATGAGAACTAAGGTTACTTCATTTCCAATCCATGTCCTGCTTAGATGTCTCTAGCAGATTACATATAGGTGACACAAGCCTCTTGGATGTGCTATTGGTCAGAATTTACTCTGACATGAAATTTTACTTATACCACATTTTTGTAATAAAAGCAATATATTATTTATAAATTTACTAGGATAAAGTACTTTCATCAAAATTATGCATAAGGAATGATGGAATACATAGAGATTACCTCTACGACAAGTGAATAAAAACCGTAGGCGCTCACTAACCATGAAGTAATTTATTTATTTTATAAGTACTGAGATATTACAAGTAAAGATTTTTTGAACTTGGAGTTGAGAGAAAAATTTATTGAACCTAGAACAATTGGTTAACCTAATGACTAACACACGAAAAATATAACACTTCCTTTTCCTTTCTGTTTGGGTTCTCATTGCTTTGATTGCAAAGCTTTTCATGTCTGTTCAAAGTCAGCGTCTTTGATGATGCTCACCCGATGATTTTTCTTCTTTAGATATCATTCAAAATTAGCTATAAAAGCCCGTAGAGAGCTTGGTTCGTAGTTTTCGTTGGCTGGTTCTTTCTTACGGACCGAGGACGAATTTGCTGAGGTATTCGTTGAGTTCTTTTGCAAGAATCTGTTCTATAGCCCTCGTCTCTCCTTTCGTTTGTAAAAATTCCCCCATTAGGAGTGCCACATCGTTCTTTGTCTTTTTTCTAGTGTTTTCGTTTTACGGGCTCTCGATACACTCAGTGATTGAGTCGATTTGGGCAAATCTTGAGCAACAACCTTCCATGTTTAAGAACTTTTGACAACAAGCATTCAAACACGAGCTGACACTTTCTGCATGAAGCACAGGAAAACTCGATACGATTTTTTTCACTAGTGAAAAATATTGTATAGCCAATCACAGTGCTGATACGATGTTCTTCACTAGTGAAGAAAAACCTATAGCCAATAGGATCGCTAATTGTTTTTGTGATTTTTATCAAATAGCTTGCGAACATGTAAATCTCAGTACTTATATAATAAATATATCATACATGCTTTGCAACAGTCCTCTAAATAAAATGAATATTGATATATTGGGTGCATTATGGGTAATTTTCGATTAAAAACAACGTTTTAATAAAGGTTAAATACAATGTTTTTGGTAAAAAATGTAATCTAGTTTACATCTTATGCATTAATACAAGATATTTGGCTAGTTTTTGGTTGAAAATCATTATATTTAAAGAATCTGGAAATATACAAATTAGTTTATATATGGATATATAGATAGGATACTTGACTTTTGCAGAATTTTTGCAAATTGCTATACATGGTTTAAAATAACAGCTGGTCAATCACCGGTCATGATAACCAGCCAATTTAGTTCAAACTGGATCATATCTCATTTCTGCCTCAATTCTACTGGTTAAAATGACCAGCAAGTCAAAGATTTGACTAGACAAGTTCCAATTCTGGCTGGACTTTGTCCAATGACCAGTTGTTTTTTTATTTTAAGTGCTGGTCATAGAATCTGATAATAGAACTGGCATGTTCTTTTGTATTATTATATTTCTATTTAATTTGCTGTACTTAGTGCAAACAATATAACCGTGAAACTTTAGTAATACTATATAGCACAATTTCATGCAAATTCCTATTGTTTAATTAGCACTATTTTGTACTATTTAGTAATTAGTGTTTCACGGATTAATTGTTTGCACTCTAACTTTATCCTTCCCAAGGCTAAAATTTAAAGACCCATTGCCACTTACCTTGATGCATCACAATTTGTTTACATTTTGAATCGTGTCACCACCGAAAAAACAATTCCAACCTTTTGAATAAACTCTTAGATAGTCCCTAAAGCCGTAAAAGAATGTAAAAGAATCATTATTGTGCCTTAGTGCTATGTCGGAAAAGGATTTAATGTGAAGTTATTATTCAATATATGAATCTTTGAATTTCATGGACCACGAAATTCATCTGTGACCACGGTGCATCACGGTAAGTGGCAATGGGTCTTGCTGCTCAGTGACCAGACTTGACTATCAGACACATCAGACTGGTCAACTTCTGACCAGTGAATGTGATCCTGTCAAGACAAATGACCTGAGATGCATGTGACTGTTCATTGACTGGCCTTCATTTTTAGTGTTACTTCTCGATCCCCTTAACACACTAAAAAGGTGCTTTATACATTTTGCTTTGGATGCAGGCATCCAGATTAATGATAATCTTTTGTTTTACAAATTATTAGCTAATCAACAATTTTGGTCTAGAAAGTATTTCTTTTTTCACCTGAAACCTTGTACAATATCTGTGTAGTAGTTTAGTAGTTCCATATAAAACAAAGAGAATTGTAAAATTAAATTTACTTGTAAAATAAAGCAATATTTTTTCCACAGGAGGAGTGTTTATTGGATATTCATTTCTAAAGGATCACAATGAACCTAAAGAAGTGGTGGCCTTATATTGGTAAATGTAGGCTTTGGCCAAATTTCCTAATCAGTCAGTAAATCCAGGGATTTTGGTGTTGGGGTGAAATCTTCGGTATAACCTTTACTATATTAATTCGCTTTTAAAAGTATAATTGTTTCAGCTCTCTATAATCCCATATAAGCAAATATTGTGTTATTTTCAAATTCTATTTCCTGTCTAAAGTAAAGATTAGTTAGTAATCCTCTATGACGCTTGGCTTTATTTTCCTTGGTCGTTTGTCAGAGGTGTTTGCCAAACTGGCAAAAGGTGTTGCAAAAGAGACTCGACCGGAGGGGGGAGAGGGAGGGGGTATTTGGACTGGGTTCGGATATTGGTAATACGTGGGCTACCTGTGGTAAGAGTAGTAGCGCAATGCATCGTGGGTACATTTAGTAAGGCTTACTGTTGAATTCAAGATGGCGGAGTATCTGGCGTCGATCTTTGGTACAGAAAAAGACAAGTAAGTGCCGCTAGAATGCGTTTCTGTGTTTTGAATATTTAATATAGATGCAAAATAAATGATCTGTTACCGAAATAAGCAGACATTGTACATACTAGAGCCTACAAGGTGACCGAAAACTGTTTCACAAGATGGCTGTCCTGCTACAAGTCGAACACATGGCGTTCTTTGAATATTCCTGATGAAAATGAAAGCTGTCTCATGAAGAAAGTCCAAACATTTATAAAAAATTCAATTACTAGATGAATTTGTCGTTATTGCGCATTGAAAGTGTGTTGGAAATTATCAGATTGTATTCTTGAATCTTACACTGTAAAAACTAATACCCCATTCACACCAAGGCTTAAACATGTTTTAAAGTGGTTTAACTAAACAGGTTTGAAAAACTATCTACGAACACTGCACAATATTTGGTGAAATAATGCATATAAGCTATCCTTTGTCTTGCTCTGATAATATTTTAGAAAGTTTCATTATATTGTAGGTCTACGGTGGCCCATAAGTGCAAAACACAAATGCAAAAGCCAGAACACAAACGCAAAAGCCAAAACACAAACGCGTTTGTGTTTTTACTTTTGCGTTTATGTTTTGGCTTTTGCGTTTGTGTTTTGGCTTTTGCGTTTGTGTTCTGGCTTTTGCGTTTATGTTTTGGCTTTTGCGTTTGTGTTTTCGCTCTTGCGTTTGTGTTTTTACTTTTGCGTTTGTGTTTTGCACTTATGGGCCACCGTATAGGTTTCTAGTTTCTCAATTTTTTTCCTAATGAAATCATAGTTTAACTAAACACATTTAGGTGTGAATGGGGTATAAGTTATGTTCAACTACAATAGATAAGGGTCAAATTTAAAAAAAGCTACGCAATTTTAGATTTTTTTTCTCTAAATGGGACTGAAAAACAAAAATACAAAGCGTCAAATGTTGCTTTTCTGTTGTTAGTAATGGAGACAAAGATGATCAAAGTGTTAAATGTAGTAAAAACAACAAATACAGTCCAAGTTTTTTCTCCAAACGTCATCTTAATGTTTGAGGCAAAACAAAAATGGCGACCTACTTTTTTTGTCTACTTTTTTATGAAATCTCAGTTATTACATCAATGAATGTACCTTCTATGGAGCATTTTCTATGGAATTGAAGGACTATTCTTGCAGAGTAATCAAGTTTATGGGGCACTTCTTTTCAGAGCTTTCAAACAAAATGCAAAATGCAAAACAAGACTGTAGGTCTTCTCATCATAGCTCAAAAAATACCATATTTTTTCTTTTCTTGGTGAGTTAATAGCAAAAATCTATTTTAAATATCTACTAAGGATATATTTCTTGCAAGAAAAGGGGATTTTTATCATTATTTAGTGCACTAACTTACCTTTTATCACCAAAAAAGCTATCTGAATCTTTTTTACATTCTCACATAGCTAAAATCCTGTAGAATGCCAGCCACAATGGCAGATTTGATCATGTGACCTCTTAGTGCAAGTCGCCTATTTGATTGGTTTAAGTTTTTTGAATAATCATCTGTTTCCTGTTTGCTGATTTTACAGCCAACGGTTGAAATTTGAATACTTTACTGTACACATCAGAGGGGCTTGCTAAATAGACCTTTCCTGAATTCGCTTGGATGACCATGAAACAATGGTTTAAAGTTGAGACTGAACTTGATTCTTTTATTCATCAAGTTCAACCTCGACTTGAAACCATTATATCGTAATCAGTCAAGCGAATTTGGGAAAGGCCTATTGCTCATTTTTTCAGAATGTTAATCATCAACAAATAAACTGTTCCATAATGTTTATGTATGTGATTAAGGCAAGTTATACTAATGCATGAATGTGTGTTCTTTCTAGAGTAAATTGTTCATTTTACTTCAAAATTGGTGCATGTCGCCATGGAGACAGATGTTCCCGCCTTCACAATAAGCCAACATTCAGTCAGGTATATTGTTATTTTATTGTCGCCCTGTGTTTCCAGTGTGATTAGTCCTCATAGTGTAGTGGTTAACACATTGGACTAGAATCCTAAAGACGTGGGTTTTGGCTTTCTCTATCAAATGTTTATTTGTTACTGTGTTTGTCATTCCAGCTGTCATTTGTTCTTATTCAGAACTTAATATAATTTTGTTTTCATAGACCATTCTTCTTCCAAATATGTACCAAAACCCACAAAGTGCTGCCCAAGTAGCCGATGGAACTAGTAAGTACTTGAATACCCATAAATTATGTAAAATCAGTGGGTTAATAGTGACTGCTCAGGCGTGACATTAACATTTAGGAATGATAAATGGAGAATTTGCTGTGCTGCTGTTGATTATTATATTACCTCTGTTTATTCCATAGGCAGTACAATATCTGATATTGAGGCGCAAGTACATTATGACAAGTTTTTCAAGGTAATGATCTTTTTTTAAGGCTTATTACCACCTCAGTATATTTATGTACTGTTCAATAATGAGCAAAATTGCTTCAAAAACTTTGAATAATTCACAAACCTTTAGTGGAATTAGAGCGACCATATACTTCACGAAGATTTTATACTTATAGACATTATTTTGTACATAACTGTCATGTGCATTAAGTTCAAACAACCCTGTGCAGGGCTTCTGACAGGATGCGCGGGTGCGGATCCGCATAATTTGCCTTTTTCCGCACAATCGAACGATTTCCGCATAATCCGGCAAAATCCCGCATAATTCATCAAAAATCTAAAGAAAACTTAATAATCAAGAAGAAATGTGTTATAATGTTTTCTTATTTTGATGAAATTACGAATTTTTTATTGTTTACTTACCAAATTTCAAGCAATAAACAGTGTTTAAAACTGTATATTGAATCATACGCCATCGTGTAATGAAAAGGAACAAGGCGTTCTTAGTTAAAAAACGTGAAAGAGCCTGGTAACTAGCCTTGAATAAAACGTACTTGACAAACAATAGCAGACATAGATAGCAAATGAGAGTTCTGGTTAAATGCATGTATTCGCAGACAAGATTTTCGCGCGTAAAATAGCACCCCGAGACAATTACGTGTAGGCAAATGCGGAGTCTTTTGATGTCTAGAAACTGATTACGATCGTTAATCGTTACCATCGTAAACAAGTATATTTTAGCCTAGGGTTAGCTTAACTGGCACTGTGATGTTCAGTTTTAAAAATATAATATTTCAAAAGCAAATACATCATAGATAAAATTGAAGAAATTAACACGACTTAAATTATGCTATTTAAGGATTTTTGATTTTGTGGAGCGAGTTAATTTCCTATAATAAGGCGTACATAATAGATAATCTATTAATTACAAATATGCAAACGATTGTTGTGCATGGTGAGGTGAGGTGGTAAAAACGTTGAGATTTTTTGTTGAGCTTCAAAAACAGATCATAAATTTAAGGTTTTGAAAAAAAACATTCAAAGCTTCAAAGCAATGTTTTGGAGAGAAGCATATCGAGAAGAATTGCACGACGATTACACGTGTGGATTAAAAACCTGAGATAAACAAGACCAGTGTCAAATAAAGAAGCAAAATCAAGGTAAAACTGTAAATAATTGCGTAAAACTTTAGTTAAACAAAGTTTGGAGTTAAATAAAGAAGCAAAATTTTTAAAAAACCTGTATAATCCTGTAAAAAAAATTCAGAAATTTTTTCGATCGTGACGTTATCCCGCATCCTATTCCACATAATTTGCCATTTTCTCCGCATAATCCGGAAAAAAATCCAGCATAATTTCAATTTTTTGCCCGCATCCTGTCAGAAGCCCTGGCTGTGGGGTGGGTAGACTAAGTTACCTGGGTGGGACAGTTTACCTGAGTCTTCAAGGATATAAAGGGTAGGTGAAGCTTAAATTAGCTGCTAAGTTTCAAATGACAGTGATAAAGCTACTAATTTACAGTGAAAGCCATCTTAGGAAAAAATGTTTATGCCATAAAATCAAAATCATTGAAAATATCCATTTTGAAGTTGAAATTTTACAAGTTTGTAATAAGCCTAAAGCGAGATGACGTTTTACCCCCGTCTCTAGACCATAATCCTTTTCACATTGCTTTTGTTCTTTAATTACGACTATTGTTAATGTATTCTCTAAGGAATCAAAAATTTTAATATGAAAGAATTTTAAAAACTATTATGGTATAGAGTCGGGGGTAAAATGTCATCTTGCTTCAGGCTTATTCCATTCCATATTTTTAGCATACGCCATGATGTTGTAGAGGGTCTGTTGGCATAAGCCTTTGTCTGAAGAGATCAAGTCATGCCTTGCTTACTAGTTTGATTGGCTAAGGGGGAAAAGCTTGATTGAAAGTTGTAAGATAGGCTTATCCTTTTTTTCCCTCAGAATTGCTTGACTTTGAATAATTTAATCGTTGGACATTTTTAAAAAGAAAATTATCATTTAATTAACCAGTGAGCTAGAAGTTGAATAAAATAAGATTGATTGAATCTCGAAATGCATGCATTTACAGAAATTTGTATTTGTCATTTTATTAATCTTAACAATAAAAGTGAAAGCTCAAAATATCTCATGTTTTTTGTGGGTCGTCAATGATTGTGCATGAGACTGACCTTGGTTAGCCTCTAAGTCTTCATCTAAACTTGGATGCATACTTCATCCCTGATGAAGTCATCCTCATTAGTATCTTTATACAAAGAATTCTTGGTTTTCACCACAAATTTATGTCATCAAAAATTTTGCAAGGATTTATATGAGACAAAAATTCCCCAGTCGGAAAGAGTATCCAAAACTTCATATTTCAGCCAAAATTCTAGCTAAAAGAAGTCTTAGATACGAAGATACAAGTGATTGATTATGGCCATAATTTAGTTGAAATGTATGGGTCCGCCATCTTGGTGTCTCATTGAGGGACATCAAGATGGCGGCCAAATCACAAAGGTTAAAAACAATGTTTACATTGCAATAAACAATAATCATAAAAACAAAGTTACCAATTATCTACTAAGTTAAAAACGTATTATTTCAATCAATTTTCCCTATTTCTAACGCTTTGAAAATGCATGACAGAATTGCGTGACAGAATTGGACTCGCAATAAATCTAAAACCATATAAAATTATTTTGGTAAAATGTTTGTTATGATGCTGTAAACAAAATATTTGACAAACAGTTTTGTGGGGTGAATACTTTGGATTTTAGTTTTTTGATGACGTCACGTGAAAACCAAGAATACTAATAAAGAGGACTTTATGGGGTTTAGAGATCCATGATTGTCAATTTTGTCGCAAAGGGCTCAGATATCATTAATTATTCATGATTTTAACACAGTAACATTTTAAGTTCTATTTCCCCAGACCCCACATGGACAGAGATAATGGAGCTCCGCTAAATATTTTGATTGAATTTGATTGATATCATTTGTTACTTTTATACAGGATATCTTCCTTGAATTAGAGGAAAAAGTAAGTGCATCGATAGTGATTTTTAGCATCCATTGTTAAATATCTTGTGTATTTGTGTCTTAACTCTCGTTTTGTTGTTTTCAGTATGGTGAAATAGAAGAGATGAACGTCTGTGATAATCTTGGTGATCATCTTGTGGGCAATGTATATGTAAAATTTCGTTATGAAGAAGATGCAGAAAAGGCAGTAAATGACCTGAATAACCGATGGTATAATGGTAGGTGTTACATAGTATCAATGAATAGTGGGTCATTTAACACTAAATAATAAATAAATTATATAAATAGGATTTAGCAGTGGAATTTCAAAAGAGTGGCTCTTCATCCACTGTAATTAGAAGTTGATTTTTGCGGAGGGAGGAAAACTGGAAAACCCAATAAACTCTTGAAGCACAGGAGAGAACCAACGAACATCTCCACTCACATACGACCCGAGCCCAGCTGGACTTGAACCCGGGTCGCATTGCTAAGAGGCGAGCGCTTTCACTGCTATTCGGTCTTACAATTTGATTTTGTCTGCTGACACTGCTGAAATTATTCTCTTTGACCAGGTCAACCTATATATGCAGAACTCTCACCTGTTACAGATTTCCGGTAAGAACTAAACTGCTTATCATGTTACAGCACTGTTAATAACTTAGGATTATGTTCCTAGCTATTATCTTGGATTATTTTGATCATTTTAGTAAAATACTGATTTATGTTGTGTTTCAGGGAAGCATGCTGCCGACAGTATGAAATGGGGTAAGTCAGTCATGTTCACTAACTTTCTCCAGATCTATTCTATTTCTCTTTTAACTGAGGATGTGGAAACAGAATGATATTTTAAAAAGTAGGGTCTTTTTTGTATTAGTCAAATGCAAAGATTGAACTGAAGTGAATATTTTTGGTAAACTCAGAGTAACAAGCAAAAAAGATTGTAGCATATCTTTACTTTTCTTAAGGTGCTGACACACGGTGCAACATTGCACGCAACAAGACTGTTGCAGCGTGTGTCTACCCCAAACCTGTTGCACGCAACGTTGCATGTAACGAATCTGAAGTTGAATTGCAGTCTACTTTTGCAACGTTGCGCGCAACAAATTTCATGGTGTGAACATGGCTGCAACATTACCTGCAACATTTTGAAATTTCCAGCCAATCAGCTTGCACCAAATTTATAACTGTTGACCAAATATCTTAACATAGCAGGCTGATGCAAGTGGTGTTGCGTGATTTTGTTGCAATGTGTGTCATCTCGATTCAGATTTGTTGCTTTCAATGTTGCGTACAATGTTGCACTGTGTCAGCACCTTTACTTAATTCAATGCTAAAATGTTTATGCTAAAGGCCCCTACTCTCTAGATTGTTTTTTTTTATTGTTGTATAGTTTGTGTATTACGTAAGGTTTGTAAATCAATTTCTTTACCTAACTCCCTACGCAGTGAATGCACACGTGGAGGGTTTTGTAACTTCATGCACCTGCGGCCTATTTCCAAGGACGTGCGGTAAGTGTCCACCCAGCTTCTTATGCACCTTAAAATTGTGTTCTTTTATCCATCCGTAGAGAATGTTCTCGCGGAGGTTTTTGTAACTTCATGCACATGAGGCCTGTTTCAGGAGATTTGCGGTGAGTGTGTCTTCACTCCCCAACAATGCATAAATCCAACCATGGATCGCTTTGCTGTGATGCAGAATTTGGTTTCTGTCTATTGTCATTACTAGATATGAATTCCTGCACCAAGAAGTTCATGCTATCAGAGAGCAATAATCACTCTTTCAAGCAACTTTACAAATGTACACTCTGACAAGAATACCCTACGGGATCGTATCAGTGTACACGTTGTTAATAATAACATTTTTGTTGCAGACGTGAACTCTACGGTCGAAACAGGAAATATGGGTAAGGCAATCGTTATTGATGCATAAGATACTATCATTTAGATGTATATAGAACATTAACCTATGATTAGGTGTTTTGGAAAACATTTGTCTTCTTTAAGAGTTTCTTTGTCTTCTTGTTTCCTAACAGAAAAGGCAGGAAACAACCAGAAAATGCGTGAGTTTTTTATGTTAGGATATTCTTGCTTGCTTAGACTAAATTTCAACATCAATCAAGACAATAGCCCACTTCTGAGATATGCTTTCCTTGTCAAACACAAAGGTTTCAGAAGAAGCCAATTGCTAAATTAAGGTTACTGTCAACCTTTGCAGATGCCTCACATTAAACCTCCCTTTTGCATTGAACAATATTCTGTAATGTTACATTTTAAAGCTGAGTACATAAGGAATAGGACTGTTAAGTTATTACATAAATAATCGGGTGTGTGTTTGAAAGAATTATGAAGCAAAACGTACTAGAAATCGGCTATTCTTGGTCTGAAGTAGGCTATTCATGTATCAAGATTGGTGAACATTTGAAATCCAAATCATTTTCTTTTTCTGAGTTGTGTTAAAGTTTTCAAGAAAAGTTTGATTTTTATCATCAAAATGCGCTTTTTTTTTTTTTTTAACAACAAAATGAAGCATTAAACCCTTCACTGCGTTATAGTTAAAGCAAATTAATAGAGGATCTTAGCTACTAAGTGTCAAGGAAATGGCAGCATTGCAAGACTATACTTGCTGTGGAATGAAACGGAGGACACTTTGGAAAATGGAGGACTTGCGCAAAGCCATGAATTTTCGGAAATCTTGCTTCACCAGTGCTTGGAAGAGCTTCGAGAACGGTGAAGGCGAATGATGTAAACAATAATATACGCTCAAAGTGCATTGTGGTTGACTAGGATTCTTTAAGCCAATCACATTGCTCTTTATATAATATCTTAAACCAATTTAATCGAAACTCTACTCCAAAGACTTTCAAAAGTGAGTTTTATTAACACACAATCTTTCTTTCTTATCCAATCTCCAGTGGTGGATTCTCACCTCGGCGTTCTAAATCCAGGTCTCCCCCTCGAAGAAGGTCCCGCTCAAGGTCACCCCGACGCGATCGATCACCAGGACGCGATAGGCATCCAAGATACTAAACCACAGGGTTCCCAGTTGAAGTATGAACAGTCTGGGGTAATAATATTAGCAATGCATCACCATACGCAGCTGAAGATGCTAGTACTTTAAGTGGATCTCGTACTAAATTTTTGTTTAAAAGTTATTGTATTAAAGGAAATAAACAATTACTTGTCATTCTTCCTACGTATGCAACATTGTACTTCTTCAGTTTAGAATAAAGCGCTTTTGTCATAATTCAGTGTACCAGTTTTATTGACAGGCTGGGGTGGAGGTACTGGGTGATGCCCTGGGATGGACTACACTGTTTATCTTTATCTAGTACAAGTTTACTTGATTTGAAGAATTGTGAAAGTAGAGTATGATGGCACAATGCAATATTTGCGATACAACCACTCGATCTCAATTGAGAAGTGCTGTATTATGGTATTAGTAACTTGGTAGACAATCAAAGCGAACATTTTTATTTCACCAATTAAGCATCTCTACTTGCACTCGTTATATTTTTAACAGCAATACTTGTTTTTTTTTCTGTACAATAAGATCCCATTTTACGACACTACTGACTTGAACTTGAACCCTGCAACAGACTTGATATTAATTCCTATCATATATAATTATTTTTATATCAACGGTAACCTAAAGCACATTGAGGTACACTGTCATGTAATACAATTGACCAAGTCAAGGTTACTGGAACACCTTCCAACAATGAGTAGCCTTGTCATAACAGCAAGTAACTGATAAATTGCAAAATACTTGTACAGGAATAAAGCAAATTTTGGCTTAAGTCTCTTTGTCATGAATTTTTTTAACTTAGTTCAGAAATAAGCATTCTTGCTGTCATCTCCATGGTAAAATTATTTAGACATACAGGGAAGCTTGGCTGTACTCTTCGTGCATACCACAATCCGTGTAGCAAGAGGAAAAGACAGCTTCCATATTTGCCGTCAGCCAACACATCAAGTTTTCCCTCTAGGTATAAGGCTGTTGGGAACATCGCTAGTTGTTTATGACTTAAGAAAGATGGAAAGAGCGCTGCCCTTCTTGAGCTGCTACTTTAAGTTTATCTTCCATGATTTCCTTGGTAGAGTAGTCAGGGAGCTTGAGGTAGTTGACACATGTCATAACAGATGGTAAGTAATTGTCTGCGCTTAGTGGAGGTTCAAATGTCTTCCTCACAATGGTTAAAGGAGGGTTGAGACTACGGAACCCTACAACAAATGAACACATAATTTACGTCATAATACCATAACATTCCCATACACATCATGCACTAACATACCTCCTACAGGGAGTCTTGGGCTTCCGGTGACAAACTGAAGGAATAATCGCTGTTGGTTTTGATCATATGAGCTCAGAATCTCAAACAAATTCTTGATCGCACGACTGCAAACAGATAAGGTGTAAAATAAGAAACTACTAAGTTATTTACATTTGAGTATCTTAAATACCCATTGTACTAAACTACAGGACAGGTATTTTATCAAGATAATCGGCACTACCCTCTATTTACTCATTCATCACCACAGACAGACAGACCATTTCTTACCTGTCATGATTATAGCCATGATCGGGTCTGCAACAGTCGACAAGATCTGTAAAGAAAATCGTCTGAATAAATAAGGATGGTTCTCGGTCTAGTCCAGCAAAATGAAAAATATTTAAGCTGTGAAAGTATGAGTGAAATATAAGCCTGGTTTTCCTAGTAATGCAAGCATAAACACAAGTTCAGATAGTCTTTATCAGTTAGTTAACCCCAGCTTTATATTTGGCTAGAACAAAATATTAAGTCAACCTAAATGTAATATCTGTGTTGCATATGACGTTAGCTTGTGGGGTCGTAATACAAACAATGATTGCTGTCCAGCTTACAATGCAACAATAGTATTATGAGAACTTCAGGAGTAATATTATTTTGTTTTACTAACGTTTGGTGTCCCAATTTTCTCCTCCACTACCACAAAGAAGCAAATCCATCTGAAATAAAACAATCTATCAGTACGTGCACACATCGAATTTTAAGATTTATTAATTTTGTTTTTAGAGCCTGTGCTTGCTTACTGGTAAAAGAAGAAGCAAGAAGACAAACACAGACAAAAAAAGGAGAATGAATAAAATTTACCTCGTGTGGAGAAAATCCATTGAGATTTGCCAGTGAGAACACAGAATCAAATCCCTCTTGGAAAGCTTGGAACTGCCTCTCGACTCCTTCAACAAACGTCCATTGAACAACCAACTATAACAAATAAAGGTATCAAAAAGAAGACTTGGTGGGAAAAGCAAACAAGGTCCTGGAACCATTAATAGGGTGTAAAGAGACAATAAGGATAAAGATACGCATAAGCTTCTGTACTAGTACTGCTTGCTAGTCATACCACACCTTCAATATTGCAGTTGTCTTTGGTCACATACTTCAAAGCACCGTGCTCTTACAGAAAATGTTAAAAGGTCTTTTACAACATGGCATATATACTAGGTCTCTTATCAAGAAAGACTTTAAACCTCTAACTGGCTGTCCTTTGAATACCGTATGGAGATAAACAATGCATTTTCGCAAAAATATTTTTCTTTTGCCTGTCGCTATTAAATTCACAGATCTAACCCTCCTCTGCATCATCTTCCACAAGAAACAATTTGTCGTAAAGTTTTCTCTTGTAAATTATGTTGCCTTTTTAACTCGTGGATACGCGAAACGTAGAAACGAGTTATTGTGAGGAGAAGAATCAAGGAAAGATTCAAGTTGATGTAAAAATATACAATTAACGCCTGAACTAAAATTTTAATGAGTTAAAACCTTTTTGTTGATGTATTGAAGTGAACAGGAACGCTTATGTACAATCGTCAACATATTTAGATTTTTCCAAAAGACTCGTGGGTCGAGCCGGATGCATCGAAAAAAAGCACTTTTCATTAGAATTCAAAACGAGATTCAGATTTCAAGCTTTGGAGGAATTTATTGTCATTAGAGAAAGGTCAAAGTCACGGCGGCCGATCACCAAAAAAATCATATACTCGATCGAGCGACGTTTTATTAGAACTGCTGCTTACCTTAATAAAGTGACTTCTTAAATATTAAATCAATGTGTAGATCGTAGAAAAATTTGGAACAATTCCGATAGAGTCTTAAAGAACATTCAGCCAGTTTTGTCATCCAAATAAGCCGTTCTGAATATTAAAAAGTAGATTGATCGCTACCCTGGTCCCAGAGGCTCGACGATTTTTCTCCTGGCCACGTATATTTTGAGCCGCGAAGCGGAGAGCTGTGTTCAGCTATGTTCTTGTGTGTTCAGTAATCTGCGAAGGTACTGTACAAGCCCGCAAATGATCCCAGGACCGCAAATGATCCCGGGACCGCAAATGATCCCCGAATAGGACCGCAAATAATCCCGGACCGCAAATGATCCCGATACTGGATCGCAAATGATCGCGCAATAATATGCGGAATGGTTTGGATTGGGGGAATCCTATAAATACTTTTACTTATGTATTTTCAACTTAGACTCAAATAGTATTTAGAATAATATGAACTTCATTTTTAATTCTGATTATTACTCTTTCTTTTCTCTATCCTTTTTAAAGTCTTTTTTCGTTTTTTCATTGTCATCATCCCCAGCAAATTCTCTTGAAATTATTAAAACTAAGAGCAAAACAGTCGCAAGTATTCGAACCATGTTGACACTGACAGTTCGTAGCACTGCAAGCATGTCAACAAAGGAAGCCCAAGCAATGCGATTTTTTATCATAGAATTGAAGAGATTTTAAACATGTTAAATGTATACAGATACATAATAATTTATTGCTTCGAAATATATTCACATATATACATCTGGAAAGTTGTGATACAGCTTGCATACAATCCATATTTCATTATTATTATCTTCCCGTTTTTTAAATGAACAAAAGAACTGTAAATGTTTGTCACAATAATTATCCATGTTGAGGATTCCCCCACTCCAAACCATTCCGCATATTATTGCGCGATCATTTGCGATCCAGTATCGGGATCATTTGCGGTCTGGGATCATTTGCGGTCTGGGATCATTTGCGGTCCTATTCGGGGATCATTTGCGGTCCCGGGATCATTTGCGGTCCTGGGATCATTTGCGGGCCTGTACAGTACCAATCTACACAATAGATGTCGCTCGAGACAACTAACGAGAATTCGCTCCAATAAATAATCCGTAATTTACAGACTTGAATGAAGACAAATTAAATAGTATTTCTAAACCAATTTCTATAAAATATTCGCTTAGTTCACAGTGTAAATCTTCGATCGGGCAACAAATCGACTGTAAGCGCCGTGACCCTTGAAGGTCAATATAAGTAGTAACGCATAACGCAACGCTTTTTTTTAGCCAAAAAGATTTGAACGAATGATTCCTGAAATAAAGCACTCGGCCCGACTTTTAAATTAAAAACAAAATCCAGAATTCGTTTTTCAGAAGACTTAGCAAATAGAAGTCTATCGAAGTCGTATTTCGTTGTATTCAGACAATCAGAATCAGAATCACAGAATTGGGCTTCCAAACTCAACAAAATAACAAAGAACTAAACAAAGTAGGTGTTAAAAGGGAAAAAGGACGACTTATCATCTTACCAGCTAAATCGAGTATTTAAAATATGAAATTGAGCGAAATACCTTGAAACATTCGAATGTCAACAAGTATAAGAACACAGGAAGCCCAATCTCTAGAATGTCAACTAGTATGTATCCACGAGTTCGCCAAAGGACGGTTTGATTAAATTGTCATTATGTTTGTATTGTAAATTGTAATCTAGGGAAGCATTCATAATTTAGGGGCAGTTTATTAGCAAAAACAAGACCCATACCTTGATGTACTCCTCTAGGTTGTGAATAGTTACTGGAATATTGCGACCATTTTTCTAGAGAAATAAAGAAGTGTTTAGTTAATCAAATGGGAAGATAAAGACAAATCATAATACACCAGCAATAATACCTTGAGTTCAATATTAGGATACCCAGGCAAGATGAAATCCAATCCCAGGTCTTCTACACTTGCTCCATCCAGTGTCAAGTTCTCAATAGCCAGCTGTAGGCTTTCAGTTGTGAGACCCGTGTCTTCCTCTAAGCGTTTTTTCTGCCTGACCAGAGCTTGCAGCTGTCCCATGGACTTTGCTAGTGTAGGATCAACGTACTGTAGGTCTCTGTAGTCGAAGGAATTTTCTAACCCTAGCATCCATTTATAGAATGTTTCACTCAGGGGGATGTCGATCATACGGAAGTCTAAAACTGCTCGACCTAGGAATCGTCCGAGGAACCGGAACTTGGTGCGTAGCTTGGTCAGGGCAGCAGCTTTTGTATTCTTTGGAATGGGAGCTGTAAAGAGGATAGTTTTAAGAGGATAAAAGTCAGGGCACATGACCCAAGGGTTGAATTGGAATTTAGCATGTTAGGTTTTGCGGAGGAAGGAAAACTGGAGGAAAAAACCCTTAAATCAAGGGAGAGACCCAACAAACTATATTCATGTGATGTCAAGTCTGGTAATGATGGCACCCAAGACCTAAGTACTGCTATGCCACCCTTGAGTTCCTGATACCAAGGAAGGGACATTAGAGTCCAAATAATGTTATGGGATAATATAGCTGGTAGCAAGTGATTATGGTACAAACCTGGGAAGAGTCCGCAAGGTGAATGTACATAGGTCACACCTTCCTCAGCATCTAAATATATAAAAAATGAATTAAATGATGATGATGATGATGGTGATGATGATGATGATGAGGATAATAATGATAATAATAATAATGATAATATAGAGTTCTTGAAAACATATTTAACAAAAGCCTTGATGCTTCTTACAAAAGGAGCAAGTAAAGAAAGAATATTGAGGGTCGTTGAAATGCTAGTCTGCGAACTAGACATCAAATTTCGCGAATTGATCTTTAATGGTAATTGCAGTAATACGCAATGCTGCTTGTATGACAAATCAACAACCAACCCCTCGCTACTTAATAAATGTCATAAGGAATAGTACAACCACATTGTGCTATAGAATTCTGTCACAGCTCATAACCAGCAAAATGGCACTTACGTAGGAATTGTAAGAAATTCGATAATGTAAACAATCCGCGTAAGTGGTTGGTAAGTGATTGGTAGGTGGTTGGTACGGTCAGGGTTTAGGGTTTACTGACACCTTACAGTACTGCGTGGATTCATCACAACAGCCAAGAAATTTCCCTTATCTTAGAAGAGACCAACTCAGAATCTATTTTATCATGAGTGCCCTGTTTCTCTTTCTTTTATTCACCTTCAGTAGGAGGAGGTGCTATATCAGACCCACGCCACATTTCCATACTTGATTTCTGGAACTCTTTTGATACTAGAGTGTAGAACTCTAGGGTGGGACCAAGACCTGTACCGACCTAGAAAGAGATGACAAATGATCCTTAATCGCCTGTAACAATAAAGTTGTATATTCTGGAAGAGAACAACATTAGCACTACACTAGATAGACATACTTCTCCCTCATATTGTATTTCCAGTATGGATTGTGAGCTTCCCAGGTCTTGGATAATTTTCTCTGCCTGGATAAGTAATTCTTTCCTGGATACCGTGTGCTGGAAAATAAAATAGTAGTGGGTTTACATGTCATGCTATTACTTCTTTTAGATGTTTTCTGATAATATTTTGTACCTTTTTCCTGTCAAGGCGTGGAGCTACACGATCAGACATCTCAGTGTTAATCAAATCAGGGATACTTTCCTGTTGCAAACATCAAACATGTATAGTGAGTTTATAATAATAAGTTATAGATAATGTGGCAGTTACCCAATAACTAACCTGTAGTTTACTCATGGCTCTTTCTCTATCGAAAGCTGTACTGAAAAATAGCTGTTGCCGACATTCAAAGGGGAACAAGAAAGGACTGTAAAGAAACAAAAATATGTTTGTTTGCTGAATAAAAGGGTGATAGCAAGATAATGGATACTATAGTTAAAGGGCCACTTGGACGAAAATCGCTCCAAAATTAAGACTCTTTCGTTCGAGCTGGAACTTTGCTGAAATAATCTTGAATACCTTAAGAACCACTCACTGAAATATCTTTCTGATATTCGAAAGGAAAGGGCCAAAATTTTACGATTTATTTTCGTCCGCCATTATTTCTTTGACTCACAGAATTCGGCTCAAGAGGAATGGCACGAGTAACGTATGACGTCATTTACTCAACCCAAACCAAAACATTGGTGGCTAAATGTATGTGCCATGTTCGTAAAACTCGGTTTATTTGGTTTATTCAGAAAATATATGTTTCACTTGAATCCTTAACTTCTATATGACCAAACAATGTCTAGGCGCTGAAATTTTTCAGTTTCAATAATACTGACGATCATAATTCGAAAATTTCAATACATCTCGGCACGCCAAGAATCACAACAAAGTGGACGCCTGGACGAGATTCTAGCGGCTCCATCGCGCGAAGTGACTGGAAGATTCGGGATTTATTCGAACCATTTTAAGAATAACAACTTTTCAAGGTATATTTACATACAAGGGCAAAGAGCAACCCCACAATTTGGGTCCGCGAGACATCCGACACAATGCTAGAAAAATCTACGAGCTGAGTGACAGACGCCGCTGTCGCGCGAGTAATAAATAAGAAACCTTTGACATGTTCTTTTACAAAGATGATATTAGATAATCGTATGTTTTTACCTATTAAATGCATAATAAACATTTTGGAGCAAATAATAACCGTTCTGTAGCAAATCAGCTAGGAGAATTACGAGTTCACATTCTAAATTATTCGGCACATAGATCTAAGTAATTGTCAAAAATCTTTATATCACAACGCAGAATTCAAAAGACAATCGTTTTTTTTTTTCATAACATGATCAATAGCTGTTAGATTACATTGAAATTTCAAATTTAAGATCTTTATATCATGGACAGTATGTAGCAAATACAAATAATGAAATGAAAGTAAGGAATTATTATGAAAACCTCTTCCCAAGCATTGCTTATTCCTCTAGTTCGGCTTCATCTTCTCTTTTATACATGATAACTTCTGGTTCTAACTCTTCAGGATTGACAAAGCGAGCGTCCAAAGGACTTTCCATCATATTTGAAAAGGTATCAAAGATTTAAAAAAAGTCTGTTTAGATTTTCTTTTCACGATAACGCGTTTAAAACATCAAATAAACTTCAGGTAATTTAACAAGAAATGTATAGTCAAAACGACGCTAACATRAMRRTGTTGAGTAAATGACGTCACAGCGTAAAACCGCTGTACATAATAACTCGTTGGCCGTGAGTCAAAAAATTAATGGCGGACGAAAATAAATCGTAAAATTTTGGCCCTTTCCTTTCGAATATCAAAAAGATATTTCAGTTAGTGGCTCTTAATGTATTCAAGATTATTTCAGCAAAGTTCCAGCTCGAATGAAAGAGTTTTAATTTTGGAGCGATTTACGTCCAAGTGGCCCTTTAACTAAATAAAACAGCTTTTTCCATGCTCTGTTCAGTAATAAAATAACGCAGGAAGTGAAGCAAGCATGAAAAAAGTGTCTCACACTTCTTGAGTGCTTATGATGCTTCCCAAGTGCTTTCTTACTGAACGGAGTAAGGAAAAAGCTGTTACAATGATTATTAGTGTACCATTTCTTGGGAAGATCTTCGATCCATGAAGGGTAGTTACCAGTCATCACGGCAATAGGATCTAAATTAGTAACAGTATTGTTGCCCTCATAAAGTTGTTATAATCAACATTCGTCATAACACCATCATTATCACTGTCATCAACACCATGACCACCACAACCATCATCACACTTATTCATACTCACACCATTGCATCCATCATCATCATTATTATCATCCTTATGATTAGATCACCTTCCACTGTGAGTTATTGAAAACATACCTTGCAACTGTCTAAGAATTTTAGCTGAGAGTTTGGAGTTGATGAAGTCAGCATTGGAAATCAGTGGGTTGTTTTCATTACTCTGCAAAAATAAAGACACCATAACATTAATATTAGAAGCAAGTTAATGCTGGTCTTCCCTAGCGATATAATCATAACATAAGCATAAGGATCAAAATGTTCCAAGCTTCTTGTGAATGCTTGTGCTTATGTTACTAAGCTTCAAGAATCTTACAAACAGAAGTGTTATTACCTCAAACAGCAGCTGCCAGTTGTTGTTCAGTACATGAAGTGCTCTCATTAAACATAAGACTTCTATTGAAGGGTCTGATATTCCTGCAAATATAATACAAGATTGCATTATTCATTACTGAGAGATGATGAAGGGTCAAGGGCTGAAATTGATAGACTTACCTAAATCTGATGGCAAACAGTGTCTGAGTACTTGGCTGATCGATGATGGTCCTTTATCTACAAAAAGAAAGAAAGAAAGAATTAATGGATAGATGGGTGAATAGTGGATGGATTAATGAACAGATGAAAGGATGGATGGATGGATGGGATTTGTTCACGTTTTGAGGATTGAAGAGTTGGAGTTACATGGAAATACAAGTAGTAACAAAGCAGCATACCTAAGTCATCTCTAAGAGATCTCTTGAGTGAAGTCTTGGAGGAGCTTCTACTAGCACTTCCCCCTCTAAGTCTGTTATTACCACTAGGCAAATAACTTCCATGCGTTAATGGACGGAACCTGTACAACACGCAAAAACCAGCACAATAAGGCTATTACAAAAGGTAAGTGTTCGTACATACATTTATTGTCCTTGGTAGATAGCAAGGTATAATTATAGTTCTTTGGGTTGGATCACATGTCAGGAACGGGGGCGGGGGGGACACGTTGTATTATACAGCCTGAACCATGTTAATGTATGACAATAAGAAAACACACAATAATGATAACTTACCAAATAGTATGCTGTCCTACCCAGATGCTTGGTCTTCCAAGGACACCTTGGTCTTCTTCTGTATCTTTGTCTTCATCAGTCTATAATATACATAATAGTAACAGACAGAAAAACTTAAATGTAACAGTCAATACACAAAAAAAATAATTTTCAGGATGTTTTGCCTATTAAATGGCTGGATATTTGATGTGTGGTACACAAGTTGGTCCATTTGTCCACCCTCCACCCATCTATCTATCTATGTCTGTCTGTCTGTCTGTTCCTTACCTGTCCATATTGTTTGATGGCCTGATATACTGTCATGTTGTAAGGAAGCACTTTGTCACCAATCATTATCTCTAGATGATGCCTGTAATAACAATAACAAATCATGTTAACCAATAAAAACAGAATTCAGAGCAATAGTAGACACATATACCCATGCAACATATATTATATTGTACCTTGGCATACTCTCTCCTTGAAGTTCCAGAGCCTGTAATAAAGATATAATAATGATTAGTTAAAACATCATGAGATAACAAATGAGGGTCTACAATAGGAATCCCTGCCAGATCCTGGAATCCCGCTTGTTTTCGCTGGCAATCTAGCCATCCTGCTAGTCTTCATATCAAATTCCCTATCCTGCACAAAATTCAAGCAGACACTTATTTGATTATTTGAAGTCTTTAAAGATTCACTCAAAGATTAGAAATAATTGATGAACTAAAGCATGTTGTGTGCTACTTTGTGACTTGATATGGCTTGATATTCCTTTCTTGTGAAGTATTCAGATAAAACACAAGGTCTCAATGAGAACTATGATGACCGAGACAAATAAAAGAGTCAATTTTATGAATTCACAAAGTGAATTGTAACCCAGAGACAAATGAAAGAGTCAATTTTATGAATTCACAAAGTGAAT